CACTCCAATGGCAGTAATAATAATAATTATTATTATTATGATGTACCTTAGTTATTGTTGCTGACTTGTGATACTTAGTCAAGGGAAAGTTTTGTAATGATTGCATACTCAGGCTCTTTTGTTTACTGAGGGAGACATGGAGGCACCATTGAATGGGATTTTGATTTAAACTTTATTTATGGTCTGTTTACTATTTTACTGAGTGTCATACACATGTACATGTATGTAGTATCATTATCGTTGTCTTGATTTATTCCCTGAGTCATATTAAATTTCTCTCGCTTCCTCTCTTGAGGAGAAAGGAAGGAACAAGGTGCCATTCATGTACTTATATGAGAGAGAGAGAGGAAGAGAGAGAGAACAATTTGACACATTACTCTTTTGTAGGTTTATGATTTAGCCCAGGTAGCTAGTCTGGCTGGTTTACCAAACGGGTTTATACTTGGAGCAGGTGCTGGCTCTTACAGAGTAGCTGGAGTTAACTGTGAAGTAAGCTGTAAATTAATATCATTATCATTATCATTATTATTATTATTATTATTATTATTATTATTATTATTATTATTATCATTATCATTATTATTATCAGAGGAGAATGGTGTTATTATTATTATTACTATTATTATAAAGGAAAACAAAGCATAACTAATAACAGAGAAAAACAAAAAAGGGAAAGGAGAAGGAAGGCCCTATGGGGAAAACTAAACAAAGAAACTGTATGTGTATTAAGAAACTAATAATAAAGAAAAAAAAAGAGTCAGACCTGCCCATCCACATCAGGTAGAAGGATAGGGGAGCGGCTCAACCACATGTGGGCATTAGTGTGCCACAGAGTATTATAATAATAATTATTATTATTATTATCATTATTATCATTATTACTATTATTTTTTTGTTAGATGATGGCTAATATTAAATTCTCTGATCCTGACTCAGGAGCTCCTCATAATATTGGCTCTTATTCGGCTAAAGTCTCCACAGAAGTAAATGCTACCAATACATTATTGTACCAGTATAATGACACAGAGTATTATCATTATGTCCACTTAGCTGTCATGAAATTTTTCGAGTCACAAAATTACTAAATTTGGCTTATTTCCTTTAAGGAGGTTATACAATAAAATGTGGCAGATGGCAATTAATATATTTGGTTGTTTGTGACAGCTTGATTCCCACAAAAGTCTATTTTTGCCATTCATGATTACAACCCTTGGTTTAGTGTACTAGATGTACTTGCTGATCAATAAAGCTATCTCCAACCACATTGTTAAGGATTATGGCCATACATTTGGTTATAAGCTGATTATGTATGGTTATGTCCTCAGCTATGGATGGTTATACATTCTTAGACATGGATTACCCAAGTTGTACTTGCTATCCATGATTATTATTATAAGGCTATGTATGGTCATACATATACACGAGCTAAAAACACTAAATTTTTAATTTTTATCACAAAATCACAGAAACTTATTAAGCACCTTGAAGCACACGTACGATTAATTGTATTTTATTTCTCATTTATTTTTGCATAGGACGGATCTGCTATAATTGAGAAATTCCCATACACTGAGGCCGGTCCTCTTGCCAATTTATTACTTTGTGAAGGCACTCCTGGTGCTCCTGTCCTTGAAATAAAAGCAAGGAAGAGAGTTGGAGAAGAGAATTTCGTTACCTGCATGAGAAAGTCCTTGGCTGCTTATTTTGGTGAGGGCCCAGTTGGACTCGGCGGAGTTTTCATGATTAAGAAAGGCAAAGCAAAGCTTCACATTATGGTCAGTGAAATTAAGAATTATTGTATAGCCTCTATATAATGGACACTTGGAGATAAGAAAGTTGCCCTGTTATACAGAGGTGTCCTTTATATAGAAGTTATCTTATACAGTAAGGAATGTAATTGGTACACTAGGTGCTATCCGTTAAATGGAGGTGTACACTATAGAGAGACTATATTACTAGTATACTGTATTGTCAATACTGTCCAGTGGGTTTGCTTACTATGAGGAATCTGTTGTTAATGATAATAATTTAGTATACATTTGATCTTTATGTATATAGTGTATATGATATTATTAAAAACAGATTCCTTTTCAAAATGTAAGTGCAATGTAATGGTTCACATACCAAGACTGTGTAATTAGACTATTGGAGGATATGCTAATATCAATTAGCATTGAATGTCTCCATATTTAGACATTATTTTGCTTGTGCCAAGATATAGATAGCCGTGGCATTTACTGATAGTGTGTTAATATACTGGAATAAGGAAATGTACACTCTACTAATGCTATTAGTTATAGTATTGCTTAACTACAAGTGTTGAAACACCATTAGTTATAATAATGTATTTCAATTCCAGCTTGAAACAATAAGGACCTATTCTTTACACATGCAACCATGCCATAACTTGAAAAATTGAGGTCGGAATCAGCTCAAACTTTCTACATAGAATAAGGACATCAATATGTATCAGAAAATGCAATAAAAATTTAGGGTGATTTCGGAGCCATTTTTTGGAAAAAATCATGGGCTATAGCCTTGGGTATTTTTCAGAATTTTGCCGTTTTCTTAAAATGGCCATAATTTGAAAAATTGAAATCGGAATCAGCTCAAACTTTCTACATAGAATAAGGACATCAATATGTATCAGAAAATGTAATAAAAATTTAGGGTGATTTCAGAGCCATTTTTTGGAAAAAACCATGGGCTATATATAGCCTTGGGTATTTTTCAGAATTTTGCCGTTTTCTTAAAATGGCCATAACTTGAAAAATTGAAGTCGGAATGAGCTCAAACTTTCTACACAGCATAAGGACATCAATGTGTATCAGAAAATGTAATAAAAATTTGGGGTGATTTCGGAGCCGATTTTTGGAAAAAACCATGGGCTATAGCCTTGGGTATTTTTCAGAATTTTGACATTTTCTTAAAATGGCCGTAACTTGAAAAATTGAAGTCGGAATCAGCTCAAACTTGCTACACAACATAAGGACATCAATATGTATCAGAAAATGTAATAAAAATTTGGGGTGATTTTGGAGCCATTTTTTGAAAAAAACCATGGGCTATAGCCTTGGGTATTTTTCAGAATTTTGACATTTTCTTAAAATGGCCGTAACTTGAAAAGTTGAAGTCAGAATCAGCTTAAACTTGCTACACAGCATAAGGACATCAATATGTATCAGAAAATGTAATAAAAATTTGGGGTGATTTCAGAGCCATTTTTTGGGAAAAACCATGGGCTATAGCCTTGGGTATTTTTCAGATTTTTGGAATTTTTTAAAAATGGCTGTAACTTGAAAAATTGAAGTCGGAATCAGCTCAAACTTTCTACACAGCATAAGGACATCAATATGTATCAGAAAATGTAATAAAAATTTTGGGTGATTTCGGAACCATTTTTTGGAAAAAACCATGGGCTATAGCCTTTTAAAAAAGGGAACTGAGCCCTTAAAATATTTTTATTAAAAGAAAACAAGAGAAGAGAAATAAACAAAAAGGAAATAAGAATATACAGGAAATGTTGAGAAAGTTATAAATAAAATAATTAGCCTTGGGTATTTTGCAGAATTTTGACATTTTCTTAAAATCATAATTATACATGTACGTTTTATGCAGTTACAACCATTAAAATTATTATATGTTATTATTATTATTATTATTATTATTATTATTATTATTCTTGCAGAGTCTTCATTCATGGGGAATACTAATGATGAAGATCAGGAGCCTTTACTGAATGGGACCTCATCTCCCACCAGATACACTGAGGAGGATGAAGCTGCTGGTGGAGACAGCACAAGAGAGTTTCATTCTTTATGGGACAAAATTAAAGTAATAAAAATGGAGAACTCTAGTAGAAAGGGCACTGAAACATTTTCAGTATTTTTTGAGAAAGCATATACAGTGTAGTGTTAAAAATTGAGAAACAACGTACATGTACAATTAATGTAAGCATGGCAGAGCACAATGTATATTTGCTCAAAACTATAGCACAATGAAAGCTGAAGTAATTTTTAACAATAACTCGAAATATTTATTAATGTTTGCCATTTTTGACTGGAGCTCTTCAGTATAGAAAGAGAGAGTGAGGGGGAGGAGCAAGAGAGAGTCAGAGATTGAGTTTTTTTTTAATTTATAATTTTTATTTTTTTCCCACAGTTTAAGACTAAGGAAACTGCTTTGAAGTCTTGTCAAGACTTCCGTCTCCTTTTCTCTGGCGGAATGTGGAAAACCTCGATACTCCTCATAGTCATTTGGTAGGATATACTGGAGTTTACTAATAATTTACTGATAATTTACTGGGGTTTACTGATAATTTACTAATAGGTTGGGTTGTGCCTGGTTGTATTACGGAGCTATTCTAATTACTACGACAATCCTGGAAACTGGATACGATCCTCACTGTGGTAAAACACATGTACATGTACATGTACATGTACATGTACATGTACATGTACAACTGCATGTCAATATAGATGTACATATTTACTCTGCTATTTTCCTATTACAGGAAGTGTCAATCAGTCATTTAACTCAGGCTGTCAAAATCTCACAAGCTCCTTTTACTTGAAAATTATTTGGACTTCAGCTGCAGAGTTTCCTGGTAAACCCCTTTATTAATACTCTCAATTAATGAATGATTTAATTCAATGTTTGTTGTACATTATTTGTAGGTATTATAATTACACTGGTTATAATTGAAATCGTTGGACGTAAGATCACAATGGCACTTGAGTTTGTTGGCTGTGCTATATTCTTTGGATTGATATTAATATGTGTATCAGAGTAAGAGATGGAGGGAAATAGAAACAGAGAGAGAGGAGGGAGAGAGAGAGAAAGAGAGATGGGGGAAGAGAGAGAAAGAGAGACAGAAAAGGAGGAGAGAGAGAAAGGGAAAAGATTTAATTTCTCTTTTTCTTTTGCAGTACCTGGTTAACTGTATTCCTCTTTGGTGCCAGAGCGTTTGTGACTGGTGTATTTCAGGCAGTGTATGTCTACACTCCAGAGGTGTTCCCCACCAAAGTGAGAGGAGTTGCAATGGGATTTAACACTGCAGCTGCTAGAGTAGGAGCAATAGTAACACCTTATGTTGCTCAGGTTTGTATTATAAGTAACAATAGTACAAGTATGTACAGTGTAATTTCTATGATACGTGTAAATGCTGGTTTGTATTAGTATTAGTATTATTATTATTATAAGTATTATTATTATGTAATGTCTGCAATAAGCTAAGACACATTAGTACTCTTGGTACTAGCCTATACAAAACTAAATAGGTTTAGTCTAGTTCAGTGATTGTTTGTTTGTCAACTTATTACTGACCAGTGCTCCACTGTACATGTACATGGACAGTTACTACAGTATATTCATTCTACCTTTATTATGTTTTTCCTTATATAGACATTGTTTCCGATAAGTGATTACGCAACTATAGGACTATATGTTGGTTCTTCACTTATATTGGTTGTTCTCTCTATCTTGCTACCAATAGAGACTAAAGGGAGATCGTTAAGAGTAAGTCACACCCACTTATTTATATTAATTAATTTGTATGATATTTTTAGGACAATAAAGGAACGAAATAAATATGATTATTTTTAATTGACAATAATTGTTTTATTTATTATTATTATTATTAAGTATGGTAATCTTGCTGCTTTTGTATTTTAAAAATAAATCTATAAATATACTGCATTTTATTAATTTAAATTTAAATTTATATTGTTGTTTATAAGTATTAATGATGTTATTGATTTATGCACCACTTTTAATCAACCTAATACAGAATACCTATTTTTGCAAGTTTGCTAAAAATTAGTATGCAATATTTCTAATAGCAGGCTTCAAGTATAACTGCAAGTTTTCAACACCTATATTAGCTAGCACCTCAGCAAATTGGATTATTTTAAATTTAATATAATAATAATAATTAATAATTAATTTATTAACAAATAGACAGAGTGTGAACGATTCGCATGCGTCTCATGTGTCATCTTGTGTATGGTATATCATAAATGAATATCAATAAAGAGAGAGAGAGAGGGAGGGAGGGAAAGTTCAACTCTGATCACCGCCAGCAGGAGTATCAGACGATTCCGACTCCTTCCTCTTTCTTTCCTCGTAAGCTTTCTCGTCACGTGGACGTCCGCTGCCAAATATGGATGCACGGCTAACCGTGTCTGCTAGGTCATTCACCACAGCCTTGTTGACAGTCCGAGGCTTCAGGTTTAGTTTCGGACGACCGACCAAATCCGCTGCAGAAAGAGAAAGTGAAGAATTTTATCAAAATGAACAATTAAATAAAGTGCCGTTATAGCTAGAAATTTCTGTTGGACCAAAATTTTTGCAAATAGCCGAATTTTGTGGCAAATGTACTCTGGCTGCCATGGCTTGTTGGAATTTTTTCAAAAATAGTTTGGACCACAAAAATTTTTAGCTACATATATAAGGTACATTCATATATATGTACTGTATGTACCCAACTGTATAAAGGGAAATTTTGAAGGGAATTAAATTTGGCATTTTGATTGCCATTCACCAAATTTAACTCCCTCCAAAATTTCCTGCTATACGGTATATTATGTACATCAATTGTGGTACCTGGATCTGGTTCTTTAAAGTCTTCTGGGTATCTCCTATCCCTACCGTCACGATCACGGTCCCTCCCACCTCTTCTGGGGCCCCGCCCACCACCTCCTCCTCCCCCTCTGTATCCTCCGCCACTCCTCCCACCACGATAATCAGAATACCCTCCTCCGCCCATCGGAGGGCCCGATTGGTAGCCGTGGGGCTGATCGTAATCTCCTAAAAATAAATAATCATTAAAAATATAATTAAATACTCACTGCCACGCCCTCCTCTTCCTCCACCGCCACGCCCTCCTCTCCCACCACGCCCACTTCTGCTACCGGCAACATTAACTTTTAAGGGTCTACCATCATATTCCTAAAATGGAAATTAATTAATGTACATGTACATGCATGATGTAATGAGAATGAAATTAATATTTTGAGTACATAATACATGTACATGTACATGCATGTAACTTACAGCTCCATCATATTCCAGTGCTTCCTTCAGCGATTCAACGTCTTCAAATTCCACGTAGCAGAAACCTTTAAATCTGTCACTTTCTTTATCGCGTACTAGTCTTACAGCTTTCACCTAATGGAGGAGAGAGAGAGAGGGGGAGAGAGAGAGAGGGAGAGAGAGAGGGGGGAGAGAGAGGGGGAGAGAGAGGGGGAGAGAGAGAGAGAGAGAAAATAAAGATGAACTAGAAAAGGCGGCACAAGATGCATATGTATCATAATAAGTCATTATATGGCTCTTACTTTTAACTTTTGAAAAATGGCATCTAAATCCCCTTGGACTGTATTCAATGGTAAGTTACCCACAAAGGCTGTGAATGGAGGCTCCTGTGGCAGCTCAAAATGATGTGAACCTCCATACCCACTACAATTAATGAATAATACAAAGTTTGTGTAATGAACATATTGTAGGACATGTAATGTGACTTGTTTTTATGTTTCTGTACATAAATGCAAAGTTGACGCGTCATTTCACTTACCCTCCTCTGTCGTATGATGGACGGGAAGAGCCACGACTGTTCCTACTGTCAAAAACCTCGTCTGCCATCTTTAAGTATCCTCTAACTCGCAAAGAGGAGAAGATAAAAGGAGTGAGATCAAAGGAAGACCATGTGGAGCAAAAAGAGGAGGGGCTAAAACTAGACACACCCCTAAAATTCAATTAACAACTATGAATATTAATTAGTCGATGAATATTGATTAGGTGCCTGCGCATGCGCAGTAGGTCGCTTGAATTTGGGAGGAGTAGGGATCGGCGACCCTTGAGAGAAAGACTCGCCATTAGAGAAGAAAGGAACCATTTATCTCTCTTCCTCTTAGTACTTCTCCTTTCATAATACTATCCAAGGAACCCAGTCCTACTTAGTCCTACGTCTAGTTCTTATCCGAGTTTAGAAATGGCACAGAATCTGCCGATTAAATTTCAGGAGCATCTCCAGGTATAGGGCGTGACCCGAGTTTGGGTTCTCTTTTAAACAGCACACAAACATGGGAATGGAGTGAAATACACACTAATTAACATTATTTAGAGCTATATTTAAAGTAGTATTTCATATAAAACCCTAAAATTAAATGCTGTACATGTACATACAAATTTAAGATGCCCGTAAGTACACAAAGCGTTATATTTTAAAATTGATTGTATTTATTATTTTCTTTTGTATCGCTCTTCCCCCCCCTCTCTTTCTTTTTAGCTCCAAAATGTAGGCATCAATGTCTCCCAGATTGGTTTCTCCAGCCTCACTATGGAGTCCGACAAGTACATATGTGTGAGGGAAAAGGTTGGAGACACTTCTCAAGTTGTCATCATTGATCTTGGAGATCCTGCTAATCCTATTAGACGTCCCATAACTGCTGAGTCAGCGATTATGAATCCTGCTTCCAAAGTCATCGCACTCAGAGGTGAGATATTTTATATTTGAAATATTCAATTTTATATTCTGTTGTCTCTCTCCAGCTTCTGGCAAGAATCTTCAGATATTTAACATCGAAATGAAGAGTAGGATGAAGTCACACACAATGACAGAAGACGTGACGTTCTGGAAATGGATCAGCCTTAATACCCTTGTCCTAGTCACAGAGACATCAGTCTTCCATTGGTCCATGGAAGGTATATAACTACATGCACAACTGTACATACATATATAATATATATGATGTGTCATGTGACATTGCTGTCATGTGACTGGTCTGTCAGGTGTTCTCAGGGTATTGTGTCCTATTGTGTCCAGTACATGATTTTGACTGACTGTGTAGTTCTTGCCTTATTTGGAATAATTACAGTCACACACATCCTGGGCTCTGTATATCTATTTCTGATAGATTACATACTGTTTACTATTTTTACTTTCTTTTCACCACCTCTTCCTCCTTGTGCCCCCCCCCCTACACTACTTCTCCATTAAATTTCCTCTTCTCTCTCTCTCTCTCTCTCTCTCTCTCTCTCCCCCTCCTTAGGTGATTCACAGCCACAGAAGATGTTTGATCGTCACTCTAGTTTAGCCGGTTGTCAGATCATAAATTACAGGATAGACAAGAACTTCACTTGGCTTTTGCTGATTGGCATTTCTGCAGAGGCCCATCGAGTCAAAGGGAACATGCAGCTGTATTCTGTTGAACGAAAAGTCAGTCAACCCATTGAAGGACATGCAGCTGGCTTTGCACAGTTGAAGTTGGCCGGGAACCCAGAGGAGTCTACCCTTTTTTCTTTTGCTGTCCGTGGGGCAGCTGGAGCTAAGGTAAGCATGTACATGTATGTGTATTTATGATATTTTAATTCTTCTTTCTTTCTCTTCCTCTCCTTCCTCCTTCTCTTCCTACAGTTACACGTTATTGAAGTTGGTACTCCTGCTACTGGAAACCAACCATTCCAAAAGAAAGCCGTAGATGTTTTCTTTCCTCCAGAGGCACAAGCTGATTTCCCCGTTGCCATGCAGGTACAAAAAAAGAAATAGTGTTATAAAATTTTTTTAAAGGGCAGGGCACTGTTGTTGTTCTTGGAAGGGTGTGGCTAATTGCATTCATCAATTTTAATGATATTCATAGCTTCTAATGAGATTTAGTTCATTGTGAACTTGTTTGGGGTAATTCACTAAGCATGCCGCCCACTTTTGATTTATACAACATCCAAAAACATGTAGTTATATTTACATGTACATGCTACTGTGTAATCCATATGAAATCTACCTTTCCTCTATTCCTCTCCCTCTCTCTCTCTCCCTCTCTCTCCCCTCAGATAAGTGAGAAGTTTGGTGTAGCCTATCTCATCACTAAGTTTGGTTACATTCATCTCTATGACATTGAGTCTGGCACATGTATTTACATGAATCGTATCAGCGGAGAGACGATATTTGTCACAGCTGTACACGAACCATCCAGCGGAATCATTGGCGTCAACAGGAAGGGACAGGTAAGAAGGGGTGTGGTATTATATAAACTGGGTGTGGTCAAGAAGCATATATTTGATGCATTCTATTTAGTGCCCGTAACTTTTTAATACTGTATGTAGCAAAAAATTGCTTTTGTGGCCCAAAATTTTCATGATTTTAGAAAATAATTATTTATGCTGTGAAAATCAGTACAAAATTGTAGCGAAGTCAAAAATTAGATTTAATCCACAAAAATTGATTTTTTGCAGATTTACGAAAATTTTTTATCATAACAATATTTGTCCTTATTTCTCCCTTCCTCTTCCCCTCAGGTTCTGTCAGTGAGTGTTGATGAGGTCAATATTGTCCCCTACATATCAAACCAGCTGTCCAATCCTGATCTTGCCCTCCGTTTTGCCACCAGGAACAATCTAGCCGGAGCCGAGGAGCTTTTCGTCCGAAAGTTCAACATGTTGTTTGCCCAACAGAATTACTCTGAGGCTGCAAAAGTTGCTGCTACCAGCCCCAAGGTATAAAAAAACACATGTATACTGTCTATTCAGCATGTACATGTACAGAATTTTGAAGGGGGTAATTTTGGCGTTTTGATAACAATAATTTGTCAATATAAATCCCACCATTTAAAACCATTATGAACATACTCAATGGCACTTGACCACAAATTTGCCAAATTAAACCCGCCAGTCACAAAAAAACTTAGCAATTTGCTAATATTTTACCCCCTCCAACACTACCATCAGCTACTGTATAATACTACATGTATATCTTTATTGTATTATTTATTCTTTTTGTCCTCTCTCTCTCTCTCTCTCAGGGAATCCTCCGTACTGCTGAAACCATCCAGAGGTTCCAGACGGTCCCAGCTCCCCCAGGACAGCAGTCTCCTCTCTTGCAGTATTTTGGTATTCTCCTAGAGAACAGTCAACTCAATAAATATGAGGCCCTTGAACTCTGCAGGCCAGTCCTCGTTCAGGGAAAGAAACAGCTGGTTGAAAAATGGCTCAAAGAAGAAAAGGTAAGCTTGAGAGAGAAAATTATAAAAATATCAATGTCTTACATGTATTTGTTTTTAATTTATTTATTATTTGTGTTTATGTTTATTTATTGTTTTTTGTTGTTATTTACAGTTAGAGTGTTCAGAGGAGCTGGGAGAACTGGTCAAACAGGTTGATCCAACCCTTGCTCTCTCAGTCTTCCTCCGTGCAGGAGTACCAGCAAAAGTAAGAACTGAAAATACACACACACACACACATACATGTACACTGTACATGAATTTAGATTTTACATATGTACATGTACACTTTTAATGCATGATAATATCACATGATAATCACATGACCTTTTCTTCCATAGGTTATACAATGCTTTGCCGAGACTGGTCAGTTCAACAAGATCATTCTCTACGCCAAGAAAGTCAACTACACTCCAGACTATGGCTTCCTCCTCCGTCACATCATGAGAATGAGCCCAGAGAAAGGAGTCGAGTTTGCTAAGATGCTCGTACCAGAAGAGGGAGAGCCACTCGTTGATATCAATTCCGCCGTAGACGTCTTCATGGAGCTGAACATGGTCCAGCAGTGCACCTCGTTCTTGTTGGATGCTTTAAAGAACAATCGTCCAAACGAAGGACCCCTCCAGACCCGCCTCTTGGAAATGAATCTACTCACGGCCCCACAAGTTGCCGATGCTATTATGGGGAATCAGATGTTCACTCATTACGATCGGCCCCACATTGCTCAGCTCTGTGAGAAGGCCGGTCTCCTTCAGAGGGCTCTGGAGCACTACACTGATACTTACGATATCAAGAGAGCTGTTGTCCACACTCACATGCTTAACCCGGAGTGGCTCGTTAATTACTTTGGGTCGCTCAGTGTTGAGGATTCCCTGGATTGTCTTCGTGCTATGCTCCAAGCTAACATCAGGCAGAATCTACAAGTAAGTGTTGATATGTACACGTACGTACATGTACATGTACATGTACATACAATCTGCATGTAGTGTACATGTACATGTACATTAATTTACATTTTACAGCTTATTTTTGTTTATTTGTTGTATACATGTGCTGGTACAGGTAGTCAAGTACCTTCTTTATTTTAAATTCTCTCCCTTAACCACATGTCTATAACTTGTTTAAATTGTATGTACAACTTATTTTTATCTTTTAATAAGTACATGTACATGTACATGTGCATGTAAGGTTTTATAGGGTGTACTTTAAATTTAATTTTTTTAAATAATTATGCTAAATGTAAAATTAATTTTTGTTCCTTTTCTTTCTGCACAGGTTGTTGTTAAAATTGCCTCCAAGTACTACGAGCAGCTCTCAACCAATTCTCTCATTGAGCTCTTTGAGTCTTTCAAGAGTTTTGAAGGTTCGTTACAATAGAGAGGAGGGAGTGCTCATTCAATGATGCAAATGTACATGTATATCTTCTCCTGCAGGATTGTTTTATTTCTTGGGATCAATTGTCAACTTTAATCAGGACCCTGACGTCCATTTGAAATATATTCAAGTGAGAATAAATGAAATTCACTATCCCACATGTATAGTCCTCCCTATGGTGGTCGGGGGTGGTCGGGACAACCACCTCAACAAATGAACCAACCAGTTCATCACTTAGACCAACCATCCAATTAATACTAATAACCATACATAGAGCATGATATTGTAGTCTACTAGTATGGTGTACATAAATTTAAAAGGAACAATATTAGTCTCAACCACCTCTAATTTTATTCTAGGCAGCCCTAGCTGATACATGTACATTTTAATTCTCTTGTTTCTTCCCCTCAGGCTGCATGCAAGACTGGACAGATGAAGGAGGTTGAGCGAATCTGCCGTGAAAGCAATTGCTATGAACCTGAACGTGTTAAGAACTTTTTGAAGGTACATATACATGTATACATCATTAACTAATGTCGTGTTATCTTTCTTTGCTTTTAGGAGGCCAAGCTGACCGATCAGCTCCCTCTCATTATTGTCTGTGACAGGTTTGATTTTGTCCACGATCTCGTCCTCTACCTCTATCGCAACAATCTTCAGAAATACATTGAAATCTATGTTCAGAAGGTATGTACAATTGTACATGTACATATTGGAAGTAGCACCTTTTAATAGTGACTAAGATTTATAAGCATAGTACCTTTTAAATACCACAACGTATTTTAGTTGAATACATGTATGTCCATTATATTTACATGTATAATGTATACTAAAAATCAATTTATTTATTATTACGATCTGGGGCTTTGCCCCCAGGTCATTCCTATAATTGATTTCACCATCGCACTATTTACTTACGTTTCTTCTATACATGTTGTATTGGAGAAATAACAAGCATTAGCAACCACCTGCCCATGCCCCTTTATGTGAGTGGGTGTGGCAACGGCAAACAAAATGGCAGCTTACACACGGGACAAAGTTATGAGCTTTCTAACAGCAAGAGAGCATAGAGATACTGTCTAAAGACTTCTCTAGAAGCATTATAAGGTAGAGAGAACCTCTATAAGTCTTAATAAGAACCTAGCTGTACTTGCAAGGTGGTGAAATCAATTATAGGAATATTTTTACACTGTTACGCTTGTTTTTAATGACTATTCTATTACTGTAGGTGAATCCGTCTCGTTTACCTATTGTTGTTGGTGGTCTCCTTGATGTTGATTGCACCGATGACGTCATTAAGAACCTCGTCCTAACAGTCCGTGGCTCCTATTCCACTGATGAACTGGTGGAGGAAGTGGAGAAGAGGAATCGTCTTAAACTCCTCCTTCCTCTCCTTGAGTCTCGGGTCCACGAGGGAGTGGAGGAACCAGCCACTCACAACGCTCTTGCTAAGATTTATATTGACAGCAATAACAACCCTGAGAGGTTCCTCAAAGAGAATCATTTCTATGATAGTCATGTTGTTGGTAAATATTGCGAGAAGAGGGACCCTCATTTAGCTTGTGTTGCTTACGAAAGGGGACAGTGTGACCAGGAGCTGATACAGGTAGAGGAGTTGTACATGTACATGTACTGTACGTAGTTTAGCAAAATTAGTTTAGATGAACAGGTACATGTATATAAGTACATGTATGAGTACAAGTAATGTACATGTAAAAAATACATGTATATGTATATAAGTAAATGTACTTGAGTGACGTGTACATGTACATGTAGTCAGTTAGCAAATTACTTTTTATGATGAAAAATTAACATATATGTACGTCTACATTATTGTGGGTTCAATCTTAATGTACATGTAACATGATGTGTATCGTTTATTATGATTAATGTTTTAATTATTTATTATCATAATTTATTATCTCTTCAATAGGTTTGCAATGAAAACTCTCTCTTCAAGACCGAGGCTCGTTACCTCGTCCACCGCAAGGACCCCGAGCTATGGGCCACGGTCCTTGACGAGGGCAACCAGTACCGCCGCCCACTCATAGACCAAGTGGTCCAGACTGCTCTGAACGAGACCCAAGACCCAGAGGACGTCTCTGTCACCGTCAAGGCTTTCATGAGCGCCGACTTGCCCAACGAATTGATCGAGCTCCTCGAGAAGATTGTCCTTGAGAACTCTGTCTTCTCTGAGCACCGAAACCTTCAGAACCTTTTGATACTCACAGCCATAAAGGCTGACCAGACCCGCGTGATGGAGTACATCACTCGTTTGGATAATTACGATGCTCCTGATATTGCCAGCATTGCCATTAGCAGTGAGCTCTTTGAAGAGGCCTTCGCTATTTATAAGAAATTTGATGTCAATACGTCTGCCATTGAGGTACAGGGAATGAAGATGAACATTTGAATTTACTTAATGTAATCTTTCTCTCTGCACCTCTCTCTCTTTCTCTCTCTCTCTCTCCAGGTTCTCATCAACCACATCAGTAATCTTGATCGAGCTTACGAGTTTGCCGAAAGGTGTAACCAGCCCGGGGTATGGAGCCTTCTTGCTGCTGCCCAACTCTCTGCCATGATGATAAAGGAAGCCATTGATTCTTACATAAAAGCTGACGATCCTTCTTGCTACACTGAAGTCATCAACGCAGCTAATCAAGGAGGTAAACCACACCCACCAATTAATGTACACATGCACATGTATCCAAACCACACCCACCAATTAATGTACATGTGCATGTATCTAAACCACACCCACCAATTAATGTACATGTATTTATGTGCAGGTAATTTTGAGGATCTTGTCCGTTACCTGCAAATGGCTCGTAAGAAGACCCGAGAGACTTTCATTGAGACGGAGCTGGTCTTTGCCTTTGCTATGACGAACCGTTTGGCCGATCTGGAGGAATTCATCTCTGGACCTAACCACGCCCAAATATCTCAAGTAAAATATTATTATTATTATTATTTAATATCAGTTTATTGTTGTTTTTATCATTATTTTTTCTCATTTAATAATATCAGTACATGTACAGTGTATATATTTTATAGTTATAAATAATTTATTTTTAATTTTATTTTGTAGGTTGGTGAGCGTTGTTTCAACGAGGGCATGTATGAAGCTGCTAAGATTCTCTTTAACAATATTTCCAATTTCGCTCGTTTGGCCTCTACTCTTGTTCACTTGGGCGAGTTCCAGAATGCCGTGGACTCCGCCCGTAAAGCAAACTCAACTAGGACCTGGAAAGAAGTGAGAAAAATAAAATATTATTCAATTTTTTTTAATTTTAAGATTATGAAAAATTATTTATTTTTTGTGCTTATGCATTGGGCAATTAATTAGAATTAATTATTCAGTATTTTTTTATTTTTTACGTGTAATATAGCGCCATAGTTTTTCTACCACTTAAAATCAATTTGACTCATTCTCATCCGTCTCTATGTAGGTCTGTTTTGCTTGTGTTGATTCCAGCGAATTCCGTCTTGCTCAAGTCTGTGGTCTCCATATTGTTGTTCACGCCGATGAACTGGGCGACCTTATCAACTACTACCAAAACCGTGGACACTTCAACGAGCTCATCACCCTCCTGGAGGCTGCCCTGGGCCTGGAGAGAGCTCACATGGGCATGTTCACTGAGCTGGCCATCCTTTACTCAAAGTACAAGCCTGGGAAGATGAGGGAGCATTTGGAGCTGTTCTGGTCTCGTGTTAATATACCAAAGGTAAAAAGAGAGAGAGAGTGGGGGTAAAGAGAGAGAGAGAGAGAGAGAGATAGGGAGGGAGGGGTAATAATCGAGAATTAGTACATGTACATGTATTGTGCTGTCATGTACATGTACACATACATGTAGTACATGAATTATTCACAATTAAAGTACATGTACATCATAATAATGCTAGTGTATAATTACAGATACAGTGTGGTTTGTCCATGTATTTAAAGTTTGTAACAAGTTGTATTATTTATTAATTTATTTATTTATTTATTTACTGTATTTTTAGGTCCTAAGGGCAGCAGAGCAGGCCCACCTCTGGTCTGAGCTAGTCTTCCTCTATGATAAATATGAGGAGTATGATAACGCCATACTAGCAATGATGGCTCACCCAACCGTTGCTTGGAAGGAAAGCCTCTTCAAGGACATTGTCACCAAAGTCGCCAACGTTGAGCTTTACTACAAAGCACTCCAGTTCTACCTAGACCACAAGCCACTCCTACTCAACGACCTTCTAATAGTCCTCACTCCACGCTTGGACCATACTCGTGCTGTCACTTTCTTCCGAAAGACGAATAACATGCACCTTGTGAAGCCGTACCTTCGCTCCGTCCAACAGAACAATAACAAGGCTATCAACGAGGCTCTGAACCAGGTCCTTATAGAAGAGGAGGACTTTGAGGACTTGAGGAAGTCGATAGATTCTTTTGATAACTTTGATACAATTGCTCTCGCTCAGCAACTCGAGAGACACGATCTCATAGAGTTCCGTCGTATCTCTGCCTACCTTTACAAGAGTAACAATCGTTGGAGCCAGTCTGTTGAGCTTTGTAAGAGGGACCATTTGTACAAGGTATGTATCTGTGACATTATTTTAGTATAATGTACCGTGTAGTGGGAAAATTTTTGTTGCCGTAAAATTTCATTGTCCATCCAAGAAGGCCTTACAAGATATTTTGTTGATTTTATTATTAATTATTAACCCAGTCACGCCCACTTCATTTTAAATTTCCATTGTCTAAAATTTCTGTTGAAACTTTTGGCCAAAAAAAGAAACGAAAATAATGAAAAATTTCCTGCTATACAGTATTGATCTTTCTTATGATTCCTCCATTTTATTTTCTCTCTCTCCTCACAGGATGCAATGCAGTTTGCTTGTGAGTCCCGTGATCCTGAAGTCAGTGAGAATATCCTTGCCTGGTTCCTTGAAATCGGAAAGCCCGAGTGTTTTGCTGCCTGCCTCTACACTTGCTACGACCTCTTGAAACCTGACATCATACTAGAGCTGGCTTGGAGGCACAATATACTGGACTTTGCTATGCCTTATCTCTGTCAAGTACTTAGGGAATATATCACCAAAGTAAGAGAGAGAGAGGGGGAGAGAGAGGGAGAGAAGTGTTGGCTATACTACACAGAAGCTCTCATTTATCGGTGTATCGATTTACAAACATGCATTCCTTTCTGTATAAAGTAATCTCCACATGTGCCCAACATGCATGTACCTATACTAGGCTAGCAACATTTGTGGTTACTTTAATCTTGTAAACAGCATCATAGACAGCTTTTCTGTTTTTGGCAACAAGATCTATAATGAAGGCAAACAGACAAACTTCTGGACTCGTAATACTTTCATAATAATTTTTTTCTCTCTCTCTCTCTTAGATTGACAAGCTTCAGTTAAGTGATGAAGTTAGAACAGCCGAAGCTGAAGAACAGCAACAGCAACCCCCACCAATGATGATGGGTATGTTCATCCACACATTAACAACCAACCATACTGATACAAATAATGTCACCAAGAATGAATCATACTTAATAATTTAGTGATTCAAACAAAAACTTAACCATCTCTCTCTCTCTCTCTCTCTCTCCCTCTCTCTCTCTCTCTCTCCCCCTCTCTCTCTCCCCCTCTCTCTCTCTCTCCCCCTCTCTCTCTCTCTCCCCCCCTCTCTCTCTCTCCCCCCTCTCTCTCTCTCCCCCCTCTCTCTCTCTCCCCCTCTCTCCTAATGTAGAGGCTCCATTGATGATCACTGCTGGTGTTGGAATGGGAGGAGGTATGCCTCCACCTGGTATGGGTAGTATGGGTCCAGCTGGTATGATGCCGCCTACTGGACAGCCTCCAATAGGGATGCCCTTCCAGCCCCCACAGCAGCCTGGGGGCTACTTCGGGCAGTTTTAAAGACTGTTGAGAATTAACAAGGAAAACATATAAACACATTATACAAAAAAGCTGCTGCCATTTTTGACTCTAACCTCATTTAGTATTATTATTATTATTATTATTTGTTCTAATTTGTAATTTTGGCTTCTTTCTATTATTATTATTATTATTATTATTATTATTATTATATTATTATTATTAGTGGACAGTTAGGCTGACAAAAAACTGTTCTCTCTCCCTCTCTTCCTTTCTCTCTTTATCATCTCTCACTTTATTCTCGGTCCTTTCGAGAATGAAACTTTTAGGAATTTAAAATTGCTACATAAGAAAACTGCTCTATTATTATTGTAATGTCCATAATAATTTATAGTTGCTGTTATTTAAAATGATACATAGTTCCTTGTTTGTCTTCATTTATTATTTTAATTTTTACTTTTAAACCATTTTTTATGCATGCGCTTTAATTAGAGTGCGCGCTCGAGTGGTTAATTAAAAGTTATTAAAATTAAAAATACGGCGGGTAAAGACCTGCGCTTTAATTAGAGTCACCACCTATGTAAAGTAAACGCCTTCTCTCAAACGCATCAGCCTCTCCTTCCTTCTTTCTAATGCTGGAGCATATGGGAGAGACTGACATTGAGTTGAGATAGCTTTTAGAGGGTTTAGTGTGTATGTTGCCTTGCTTTGTGGCCCCTTGGTGGCTTAATCGGCTATTTAAAGCTTTTCACATGTCAAGCGAGGACCTACAACACAGGAGGAAGAACAACTACAAGCTCCTGGTCGACCCCGAGCTCGTGAAGGGCAAAAAGAAGCTTTACAGGCTAAACGGAGCCATACCTGGGGTAAGGTGCTCATTAATTAGAACAACACCATTCACACAGTCTTATGTCGTCATAAGTCGCGTGATCACTTGTCATGTGACCTTAATGGTACAATCTCAAGAAGAGATGACATTATGTAATCAGTCTTATCTCTTCTTTCTCTTATTTTCAAGCAGAAGGCTCCAATTCCTGATCCAAAAGACCCAAGAGTTTTAAAAACGATTCTTGGCGCTGATGGAAGCAATGTTGGACTGAGGGTGCCAAGATTTAAGGTGTTTATCGGGACAATGGTTACCACCACCACTTCTCTCTCTCTCTCCTTTCTCTTTATTCAAAATTTTAAACTTGCATTGTTGACGATCGCTTACATTCTGTGTGTCTTTTTAAAAGTTAATGATAATAAAAGAGTTTTTTAATCATCACAAAAATAAGAAGAGGAAAGGATGAGAAAATGGAGGGAGAGACAGAGAGAGATACATAGCCATTGCCCTTTTACGTATAATCTCTTTCTACCTCTGAATATTCATTAATACATTTATTCTTTCCCCCCTCTCTCTTTTTAGTATGATAAGTTCTGGACAGGCTCTCCTCCACTAAGAGAGATATTAATCTCTGGCCTCAACGAGCTTTCCACCAAAGGGACTATCATTAAAGATCTCTGCGAGACGGTGTCTCCAACTTTCTTTGTGAAGTTTCACAGGCATTTAAAGTCGAGGGTTTTTCTTGGCAGTGCCACTGTGTCTTTTGTAAAGGCCGGCTGTGGAGAGAGAGCTGTTAATGAGCTTAATGGAGCTGTGGTCTGTGGGTCTAAGATAGCTGTGGAGCTTGATGATAGAGGTATACATGTACATGTACATATTAATGATAGAAAGAGAAAGAAAGATGGTGTTTATGTAAATCATGTGACACATCGAGTTTTACTTTTGGCCCAAATTCCAATAAGATTTATACTGTAGCTTAATTCCCATGACAAAAGGAGGGTTTGATGTGGGTGGAGAGTGTTTAATTAAACTTATTAATTCATTATTTCCTGTATAAACAGTGCGTATAATTAATGCAAAACTGCAATAACGAAAAAAGCTGGTGTTTATGTAAATTACATGTACATGTACATGTATATGTAATTTAATTTACAATATTAATATTTTTACTTTCACTATAAACACATTTTTTCTCTTTATAAAAGGTGATCTTGCTAAAGAGGTGTACACAAGCAAAGACAATAGAAGATTTAGTGTTGATAGTTTCAAATCAGACGTCACCACGCCTACCATCAAACCAGACGACTCGGCATTTTTTAATAATCACGAGAACAATAGAGACGATGCATTTCAAAGCCCCACCTCCTTTCCCACCCACACTTCGTTTCAAAAATTTAATTTGATTTCAATGGTAAAGACCAAATCACTCTCATCAGTTGAAGGTTCGCCTCATATGAGTGGGTGTGGCTTGACCACGCCTACAGGTACCACGCCCAACTCTGGAATATCTACAAAGCATGCATTTGATCCAATCCTAGCATTAAAGACTTGTCTGTTAGCGAAAAAGAACAAGGTTGCTTCAATCCCTCCCCTTCCTCCGAAAGAAAAGGCTCCTCCCCTTCCCTCAGAAGCTCCACCCCCTCCACCAGAAGCCCCGCCCCCTCAGATTGGACTGGAGGAGATCAGCTCTGAGGACGAAGGACCTAAAAAGGTTGGGAAGACATTTTTTGAAGAGATTTCGGGCGAAGAGGGTTCTCCACTAGTGACTAGGCCCCAGCTTATAGTGGAGGACATATCTAGTTGCGAGGAAGATGGAGAGAGAGGGAATGGAAGTGTTGATATGGACATTTCTGATACGGAACAAAATAGCTCTCAAATCATTGAAATTAATGTTCGTCCTCTCACAGCCCCCGCCCCTCACTTCATCCAGCCTCCTCTTCCACCTCCTCCCTTTCCTTCTCAAACCTTTTTGAACTATCAGCTCTCCTCTGAAGGACCGAAAACTCCACCCTCGGAGGTCCGTGGCGATTGCCTTGACAACGGTGGCTCCGCCCACCCAAGGACTCGCAAAAATAAGTTCTCACCGGCAAAACAATGGAAGGTTCCTTTGGCAGTGACTCGGGAAGAGAAGAGAGGGCAGGATGTGCTTTATTGTGCCTTGGAGCAGCTGTCAAGAATATTACTGAGGGACGTGGAGAAGAAACTGGTAGAGAGTTCTGCTTTTCCTGTACTTGATGAAGTGTGGGATAAGAAAGAGGTAATAGACATTTGACATAATTATTCTGATAAATGGCTCTGAAATCACCCCAAATTTTTATTACATTTTCTGATACATATTGATGTCCTTATGCTGTGTAGCAAGTTTGAGCTGATTCCAACTTCAATTTTTCAAGTTACGGCCATTTTAAGAAAATGCCAAAATTCCGAAAAATACTCTGTACTATAGCCCATGGTTTTTTCCAAAAAATGGCTCCAAAATCACCCCAAATTTTTATTACATTTTCTGATGCATATTGATGTCCTTATGCTGTGTAGCAAGTTTGAGCTGATTCCGACTTCAATTTTTCAAGTTACGGCCATTTCAAGAAAACGTCAAAAATCTGAAAAATACCCAAGGCTATAGCCCATGGTTTTTTCAAAAAATGACTCCAAAATTGCCCCAAATTTTTATTACATTTTCTGATGCATATTGATGTCCTTATGCTGTGTAGCAAGTTTGAGCTGATTCCGACTTCAATTTTTCAAGTTACGGCCATTTTAAGAAAATGCCAAAATTCCGAAAAATACTCTGTACTATAGCCCATGGTTTTTTCCAAAAAATGGCTCCAAAATCACCCCAAATTTTTATTACATTTTCTGATGCATATTGATGTCCTTATGCTGTGTAGCAAGTTTGAGCTGATTCCGACTTCAATTTTTCAAGTTACGGCCATTTTAAAAGTACAGTACATGTAGATGTAGGAAACAAGCAAGGACAACATGTACTGCACATGTGTATGCACTATGCAGTCCATGCCAATAAGTGACTCTATTCCCAATTCTCATTATGTTAGAGTCAAAGGTCTAAAGCCCTTGGAGAGGAGCCTATGGAAACTGAAGAACGTGTCAAACCACAAGAGCCTTACCGTAGAATGCTCCCAGGCCTTGTTCCTAATAGGTCACGCCCACAAGAAGACGACGAGTCGACCACACCCATCACTCCTAGAAAGAGGTTGATGAACTTTAAGATCCCGTTGGTGGGTAGCATGTACAGGAGGGACAATGTGATGACTGCTACAAGGAGACTCCATTTTAATGAGAGGGGAGAGAGAGACAGGAGAAAGAGGAAAAGTAAGAGGAAATTGATTAATATGTCACACGTAGATGTACATGTACTTTGTAGCTCATTATTTTCACAGTTCCTATTTTTGCAAAAGTTACATTTAAAAAAGTTAATGTGTGGATACATGTACATGTACATGTGTATTAATGACAATTTGACACTGTACATGTACATGTACCAGGACAGAGCTCTCCCCTTCGGCCTCAGGTCAGCCATAATCATATTCACAGCAGTCGCTGACGGCTTGGCCTGGGCCATGATCTGCTCTGGCATAGTCCATTTAGCTCATTACCTGGACGACTTCACACATGTACATGTACAGTGTCAAATTTTTCATTCCCATTTCTACATTTACATTCTACATTTTTTTCATTCTACATTTCTACATGTAAATGTAGAAAATACGAGAACATGACTTCTCTCTCTCTCTCTCCCTCTCTTGTAGATCATTATTCCGATGTGCTCCCTAGGAGAAAGAGGAGACACAGAAAGGAAGATAAAGATGAAAGGAGAAGCGAATATTCTCAACTCTCTGATATCAGCAGTGAGGAATGGCCCAGCGACGAGGGGAGGAGGAGTAAGGACAGAGATAAAAAGAAAAAGGAAAGAAAGGTCCTACTTTATATTAGATATACACATGTACATGTACACTGCATGTTCTTGTATTAGGCATTTAGAATATTATTCAACTACTGTACGTGTATTACTGCTACATGTACTTTGGTTCATTTTTCTTCCATTGCAGCATAAAGTACCATAAAAAGTACATGTACTCTACCCACAAAATCTTGTACATGTACAAGTACATGTGTATGTAAACCATAGTTCATATAATATGTGCTATATTTACTGTAAGATCTATGGGATCTACCCAGGGACAGTTGTGTGTTTTGCTCGTTTGCTGGGAGATCAAACTCTTATCCCTCTCTTTTACTTCTTGACAGAACAATAAAGGCCTTCTTGGAACTTCTCTGAAGCATTTATTTCTGCACGAGCTTTATTTTCATCAATACAGTTGCAAATGGCTGGCTGGGTCTAGCCTACTACCTTTATGCTGCCATTTTCTCTCATGTGCTAGATATCGCGCATGCGCAGATCGCTCGTGCATCACATTACAGATAAACTCACCCAATGAATCTCATTACCGATGTACATACTCCAATGAATCTCATTATCTTGCAATGAATATCGTTAAGTGGTTGTAGGGTTAGGTGCACATGGCGTGTTTACCACCTCCTCCGGGTCCTTTTGACCTTATAATAACTATGGTATATGTGCATGTGTACAATGTACATGTATTTTCTCTTCTTCTTTCTTTTAGGAGAATGCATTTGGTCCACGTACTCCATCAGCAACTAGTGAAGAAGAAGAAGAATTTAACAAACTACTCCAAGAGGAGGAGGAGGAGGAGGAGGGACAAGAGGAAGAGAAGGTTGACAGTGATTCCAGTCTGGCATTCAACGAGATATTTGGCTCTACGTCTTCAAGTGATTTTGAGGCGGACATTGCTTCACTGCGAAGGCCAAAGAAGGCTATGAAACTTTCTGAGCCAGCGATAAAGAAACCCTCTGACTTGATAGAGTCCGAATTGATAGCCACGCCCCCAGTGAAAGAGGATAAAGAGGAGATGGAGATTGAGAGAATTGCCGAGTATAAGAAGAGAGGAGAGGGTGAGGAGGCGGCCATTTTGAACTCATTCCTTGAAGAAGGTTTCGATAAGGAAGACATGGACATGATGAGATCGGCTTACGTCAAATTAAAAAGAATTTACTCGGAACTTATCAGCGATGTCTCGTGGTCTTATTATCCTCACAATGGTAACCACTATTTGCATACATGTACATGTACATGTACATTAATTTAATAATGTACATGTGATCAATAATTTTAACAATAAGTATTATAATTTTTTATTGAATTAATATTTATTTTATTTATTTTCTAGTTGTTGAGAATAATGTCACACATTCGAGTGGTTGTGCCAGAAGCGAAGGTTACTACAAAATTGATCCGTCAGATAAAAGTCGATACTTACATCATCTACGGCGCAGTAAAGCCTCTGAAGACAAAGATAAAAACTCTGTAAGTTGCTATAATAATAATAATATTTTATTAATTGTGTGTGGGCGTTTATAGGCTCCACCTCCTACTTCCAGTGGGCGTGGCAACAGATTGAACCATCGTCGTGTTGCGTCACTCTTCACTTCTGGAGACGTCTCAAGAGAATTACAGCAATACAATCAACTGAAGGTGAGGGGTGTGGTCATAAAGGGGTGTGGCTTGATAATATACACGGCGCATCTTGAAATTTAATTTGCTACTAGCTAAAACATGTACATGTATTAATGCTGAGCTTTTTTTAGGCTCGTAAGAAGCAACTGACATTTGCTAAATCCACCATTCACAACTGGGGCCTCTTCGCATTGGAAACTATACCAGCGGACGAGATGGTTGTGGAGTACATCGGTCAAGTGGTGAGACATGGGATAGCAGACGAGAGGGAGCGACGGTACGAGGCTCAAGGGATCGGGAGCAGTTACTTGTTTCGTGTCGATTACGATCACGTCATTGATGCAACTAAGAGCGGGAACTTTGCCAGATTCATAAATCACTGCTGCGATGTGAGTGTTATAAGATTGATTGCATTGCTTTATTAATTAATCTCTTTTTTATTTCTTTCATACGCTACCGTATAGCGGGAAATTTTGGAGGGAATTAAATTTGGCGTTTTGATAGTCATTCGCCAAAATAAAATCCTCCATTTTGAGCCATTATGCGCATGCTCAATTAGCAACTTTCCAAATTTAACTCCATCCAAAATTTCCCACTTATTCCTTTATTTTGCTTCTCATTATTCTCCCTCCCTCTCCCCCTCTCTCTTTCTCTCCCTTTTATTTCTTCCTTCTCTCCCTCTCCTCCACAGCCAAACTGCTATGCTAAGATCATCACAGTCGGGAACCAGAAAAAGATTGTCATTTATTCCAAACGTGACATTCGAGCAGGAGAAGAAATAACGTACGACTACAAGTTCCCCATTGAAGATGAGAAGATCCCGTGCTTATGTGGAGCCCCGCAGTGTCGTGGTACTCTCAATTAGTCGCTTAAAGCCACTCCCATTTACTATATCGTTACTTGTCAATAAACTCTGTTTCTCTTTTTGTGTTTTAAATTTAAAAATTCTATTTTGTGTAATTTTTTTTAAATTTTGGTGTTGAGTGGGAGGGGAAAAATGGTGTGACTAAAATAAAAAGTTGGGTGGAGCTTGCCGTTAATAAAATATTTGGGGTGAGCCCCACATAAACTAGACAAGTATATATGTCTGTCTGTCTGTTTGTTTGTTTGTTGGTACAAATTCTGTTTTCAATTTTCATTAAAAGAGGGAGTGGCCTTAACTTAAGAAAATAAAATGGCAACCAAAGTGGGAAGACATCATTATGTTTTCTAGCAGCAAATAAGACACAAATTCACAGCAATAGACATTACCAGGTCCGTTCCATGAAATTACCAACCATCTTTCCCAAAGATGGTTGGTAATTTCACCACTTCTAGTATAACTTCGACTCCAATAATTCATGTTCGTTCCACTTCCTTTGCCCTTGCTGCTCATGTACTTAATTAAATTCTGATCAATTAATTAATTCTGTAATTTTGTTTTTATTTTTGTGTATATGTAATTAGTATCTCTTCCTCTCTCATCCTCTCCTCTCTATTCTCCCTAAACTTCTCAGGCTACTCCAGTACTTTGGTGTCTCCTGTTTTCCTCTCTGTCTATGTCTCTACATGTCTTATATGTTGTAAAGTGTTAAATAATAATAATAATAATAATAATAATAATAATAATAATAATAATAATAATAATAATAATAAATATTTAGTGCAAATGCAGAAAGGAAGGTTAAGAAAGCAAATGCATTATGCCATCTTCTTTATTCATATGAATGACTGATTAAGTTAATGTCAGTCACAGCTTATACTAACTTAGACTACATTGCTACAGTTGCCTATCTAGCCATATCATTTTAGCAGTGACTGCTTCTAGCTATTTTTAATGCTTTCTAAACGCTAAACTTTAACTTTGAAGACAAAGGTAGATCAAGAACCACACTACACTCCATCAAGTTCTGAGCAAGTTGCACAATGTCAAAATCTATGTACATTGCTTTGCTTGCTCAGGCTCGCCCCTTTAATGTTTTACATTGTTCTAGTAAATTTTAAATAAATTTTACAAGTGTAATAACAGTTACAAAAAACAAAGACAAAAATAAATTCAAAATAATCCTCAAATAAATGCAAGGTTAATAATGCTGAAAAATCAGCTAAAATAAAGTAAAGTAAAAGTCTTCATACTGTAAAGAAGTAATTATTGATTGGCCATTTCCATGAGGGTATATTAGATTTGAACCTTTAAAAATTTCATAAAAGCAAAGGCTGCCCTCCTCAATTATGTCCATAAAGCCATCTTTATCCACACTATAGAGGTTGTTAGAGCTCTGTTTCATTTTTTGTTGTTGTTGGTTGAGATAGCTTCAGCGAACGCCAAAGTCAAAGTCAAAGTTGTAAATGTGGTTGGTTGACAATTAATATAAAGAACTGAGAGTCGGTGGCATTTCTGGAGTAGCTTTCAAGCCCTTCAATAGGTATCAATATTTGATTTCCAGAATATGATATGGCCACTATCTCCTAGCAAACACGTGGCCGGTCACCCCTGCACGTGACCGCACCCATCACTCACCCCATGGCCCACTCACCATGTGTGCGCACCATTGTGTAGAAATCAGTTGTCAGAGGCCACCATGTCTACAAGGCAATATGGAACCCCGTAATAGGAGAGAAACTATAGGTCTTGCTGGAGAACGACAACGAGCAGCTATAACACCATTTACAATAGCTGCTGCAAGCACAGAGCTAGAGAGGGGTAGCGAAGGGGCGTGGCGAGACTAACTAGGGCCTAGGGGCTACGGCTACACAGTGATTGAGTCATGAATCATGTCAGTCCTGATCCGGCCTAATGCATCCTGAATCATGGATTTTGGGCAGCTAACATTGCAATGAGCCTAGCCTGATCCATCAGCCCTGATACAATCATGCTGGAATTCATACTGGTTCAGCAAGAGCAACATGCATGATTCAGCAATGATACCTGTCAGACTGTATCAATACTGTAATCAGGCTCAATTCATTGATTTTGGGCAGTGTCTCATATCATACATGCTACCTCCTTTTTTACAACACATGCCTAGTAAAGTATGTGTTCTCACATTTTGATAAATAGTATTATGTTTTTTTGATAGAACGAATACTATAGTAAAAATATTGAAGAGACGATACTGGTATTCCATCCCCATTCTTTCTGCCTCCTTATACCTCTTTAGTCGCTACTTGTTCTGGCCGCTGGCTGTGTGCTATTCAAAGGGCAGCTTCTATTCGAGGAAATACGGTATTAAATTTTTAAATAAATTCTACAAGTTACATAATACATAACAGTAAGAGTACACCCACTCTTGATAACAGCTGCAAGTGTAATAATTGCAAAAAGGGAATTAAATTCATAAAGTCAACAATAACAAAATTTTCTTTGCACAGACAATTATTGCTTACCAAGACAAAAATAAATACAAAATAATACTAAAATACTTAATCTAAACACAAGATTAATGTCAAGCTGCAAACTCTGCTAGAAGAAAGTCTACGTCTGACAGTAAAGAAACAACCTTTGACCAACCATTTCGATCACGACGTCTGAGATTTGAATCACTGAAAACTTCATAAAAGTCATAACATTTACAAGAAACAAAGACAAAAATTAATTCTCAAATAAATACAAGGTTAATTGCTGAAAAATCAGCTAAAATAAAGTAAAGTAAAAGTCTTCATACTGTAAAGAATTAGTCATTAATCGGTCATTTCCATGAAGGTATATTAGTTTTGGATCTTTAGAAATTCATAAAAGTCAATTAAATTGCCCTCCTTAATCATATCCATAAAGCTATCTTTATCCACATTATATGTTGTCAGAGCTCATAAATAGATGTTTCATTTTTTGTTGCCGTTGGTTGAGAAAGCTTCAGCGAACGCCAAAGTCATCTGTGCACACGAACAGTTAACCCAGAAATGAGTGATACTACTATACAATGCTGGCCCTACTAGCTGGTAGTTCGATAGTTTTAAATGTGGTTGGTTGACAATTAATCGGAACTGAGAGTCGGTGGAATTTCTGGAGTATGCATTCAAGCCCTTCAATAGGTTTTAAATATCAATGTTTGATTTCCAGAATATGATATAGAGTATTATATATATTAAGAGAATGGCTAATAGGCCACTATCTCCTAGCAAACACATGGCCGGTCACACCTGCACGTGACCGCACCCATCACTCACCCCACTAGCACTCACCATGTGTGCGCACCATTGTGTAGAAATCAATTGTCAGAGGCCACCATGTCTACAAGGCAATATGGAACCCCGTAATAGGAGAGAAACTATAGGTCTTGCTGGAGAACGACAATGAGCAGCTATTTTTTTGCTATTGGTAGAAAAAGTCTCAGCAAATGCTAAAGTCATTGGTGTGTGTGGTGTGATATGAGGTCATATGACATCACAAGCAATAGTATATAAATTCAGAAATTTAGTTCTCATTCTAGTTCTCTCCGCCGTTCTCTTGGTCTCCTTCATTTGTTCGTTATTTCCTACTCTCAATTCTCTCAACTCTTTGATCATCTTGATATAACCTTCCTCAGCCCACTCTGGATCTTACTTATAGACTCACTACTCACTAGTTATTGATCAATCCGTATGCTAGTACCATTATTATATTGTTTCTGTACATTATTATTATTTACTACTTCTTTTCCTCTTGTGTGGTTTTATGATGTTTTTTTCTGTTATTAACTTATTATTATTCATTATTATTAATTAATTGATCATTTTTGTATAAAAGGAGACCTTTTTGTTAGTTTATTTTTAGAGGGACTTGTTAGAGTGTGTGAGTGAGAGCATATTGTATTGTGGCCTTTTTTGTCTTTCCATTTGCTCTTTGATTTCTGTGTGATAATTGAATTGATTTGTTTGAGAAAAGAGTTTGTTTTTTTGAATGGTAAATATAACAGATTTGACAGCCTGCAAAGAAGCGAGCTGCCTGAGGACTCTGATGGAATCCAGACTATAGCTGACATCGAACCGGAAGGGATCAGCAGTGTTCCCTACAGAGAAGATGCTGCGACACCTCTCTCAACTCTAGTCTTTCCCTCTCTCTTCTGTATTCATACACCAAGCAGTAGTACATACACTACTAGCAACAATTTAAACAAAGAGATCTCATTTTTATTGACCAACAGTTCATTGAACATAGCAAGTTAGCAACCGCCTCAGTGTACATGAACAATGAAGCGGGAGATTGGTGATATTACCAAACAATGCTGGATATTCTGGTAGCTTGATGGTTTTAAGTACAATTGGCAAACAATTGATGTAATGAACTAAGAGTCTATGGCATTTCTGAAGTACATTTTCAAGCCCTTCAATAGTTATCAATCAACATTGATGAACCAAGATTTCTAGCATATAAAATATTGATTTTCAGATATAAAGAGACAGACTCCAGATTTGAAATAAAAAACAAAAGCAAGTGTATTCCTGGACCAATATTCTTTGTCATTAGTTGAAATGATGATAAATAATAACTATTTTCCACATATATTATATGTGGAAAACAGTTCTTTAACAAACATCCCTCAAGCAGCATCATGGAGGAGCCACGAAGCAAACTGTAAACCATGACAATTTTTTTAGCTTAGAGAAAATTACAAAATGTTCCTCAAAAAAACATGCATGTAGTCACGGTTTCTTTTATAACTATTATTAATAATGAATGGGGCGAAGCTTCTCATGAATAAAAATAATGGTACAATTTTACAAGTTGGTACCTATAATGTAGCTTGAATATTGAACTAATCTTTTATAAAAAAACAACAATAATAATTACAAAAAAGGGAAAAAGACATTTTTTACAACTACAAAAACTAACAACATTATAATTAATTTTGTCATTAAATTCATAAAAGTCAACAATTGCAAAATATTTCTTTACACCGACAACCTAAAGTAGTGCTACCTATAAAGTGGGTGTGGTCTACCCAAACAGTTTGATGAAGCAAGGCTGACAGTAAGCGTTATTCCGATGCTCTTTGAAAGTTCCTTTGTTCAGTTGCTTGAGACAGAAGGCACAAGTGAAATGATCAGGATGGAACTTCTTACCCATAGCACTTACGCACTGACCTAATTAATAATAATAATAATTAATAATAGTTAATAAATAATTAATAAATACTAATAATAATAATGATGATCAAGAATGAATAAAAATAATTAATACTGTGCTTGCTCACCAGTGATGGGTTTTTGGCATTGAGCGCAGAGGGTTCCTCGTTGTGCATGATAGTGAATCTCGCAATGAGGCTCACCATTGTAGTCGTAGTAATCACCATGAGGGAAAGTAACACTGCAAACCTGAGAGGAAGAGAAATGAAGAGACATTATGTAATGCCTAATACCTAATAATAGCAAAATTATTGCCAAATGCAATGTAAATTGTTATCAAATGAAAGCATTATAACATCACTTCTCCACTTTTTCTTTTCTTTAATCATAAATATTTCTTATCCCTCTCCCCCCTCTCTCTTTCTCCCCTCCTCTCTCTCCCTCCCCCTTCTCTCTCTTTCTCCTCCCCCCTCTCTCTTTCTCCTCCTCCCTCTCTCTCTCTCTTTCCCCTCCTCTCTCTCTCTCTCTCTTTCTCTCTCTCCCCCCTCTCTCTCTCTCTCCCCCCTCTCTCTCTCTTCTCTCTCTCACTTACTTTACAGCAGAAGCAGTCAGAGTGCCACTGTGATCCCAGTGCTGTTATAAATCCCTCCATTATTGCCTTCTCACATCTCTTACAGCGAGGAGCAAACTTTTCAAAGTAGCACTCACGGCAGTAAGCCTTTGAGTCTTTGGCGTGAAACCCTTCAGGGCCAAAGTGTTTGCCACAAAGAGTGCAGAAGAAATGTTCGGGATGCCAAGTCTTATCCAAAGCTCTCATGCAGCGCTAAAGGGAAAGGGGGAGAGAGAGAAAAGGGTGTTTGAATGCTTGAAGAACAGATCTATGACAAATTATAACAATGAAATAAATGATGTCACAAAATCCGTGAAAAGCAAAAACCCATTTCTTCCATTGTCACGAAATCCGTGACATTGTCTGACAAGCAAAACCCATTAGTTCCACTGTCACAAAATCCGTGACAAGAAAAAACCATGTACTATACTACAGTATAGGGACTTTGGCTCAATTTTGGAGCAACTTAAAAAATTCTTATAAAATCCAAACTTGATCGGAATTAGTTCAAACTTTCTAAACAACATAAGTACATGTACATGTGTATTATGTATCAGGAAAAATGGAGAAATACAGAGGAAGATGAATATATTAAACTCACATCAAGGATTGGTCCATTGCAGTAAGCACAACGTGGTGCAAATAGCTCGTGATAGTCCTTCTCACAGTAGGGGGTGTTGTTGTGCTCATAAAACGTTATGTTCCCAAGCTCAGTGTCACACTGGGAGCAGGTAAAGTGTTCAGGATGCCACACCCTCTTCATCGCGTTAATGACTTTACCAAATATGGGCTTGTCACATGCAGCACATGTTCCCTATATAATTTTTTTAATGTAATTATAATATGCACCTGTACAGCATTACAATATTCAATACAGGTATCATTACAATAATACGTATTTTATTACATTTACATTTTCCCAGAGCAAAACTTTCGCGGATTATAAAAAATGAATTTTATTTTGTGGATTTTCAATGTTAGTGCCACACTTTTGATGGTGATTGTATATTTAGCAAAGCTTTAACTAAATTTAAGGTTGCATGCTAATTCAAAAGTTTTGCTCCTCAAAAATAAGGCACTATAAAAAGTATCACATTGTTTCTTCCTACCTTAGAAGAAGTATCAATTCCTTGTCTGTTCATGTTAGATTGAAGTGATCCAATCATGGAGTCAAGGTTACTGATCTGACTCTTGATACGGGGTTCCTTGTGGGGCCTGGCATAGGGACCCTCTTCCTAAATAAAAATACCTCATCTGTATATATTGAACATTATGTATCTTTATATATTCTCATTCTCATACTCCATATCCTCATTATAATGCTACCAAAACTCATTCCCATACCCCATACTCCATATTCTCATTCACATACAGCAACTCATTCTCATGCCCCATACCTCCATATTCTCATTCACATAACTCATTCCATTCCCATACCTCCATAGTCTCATTCCCATACTCCCATTCTTACTTGTGGTGGAGGAGGTGGTTTACTGACTTGGGCTTGAGGAGGCAGTTTAAAGTCTGAAAGGTCGGCCATTAACATGTCTAACTCGTGGGTGGCGGCTGAAGCTGTTGGCCGAGACGACGACTTGGGCGCCTCCCTCTCGTGAGAAACCTTTCTCTCGACTTCAGTCAACTCGTCCATAAACTGAGAGACGGTGGGTCTTCCAGTAGAGGCAGGGGCAGTGGGAGGAGCCTCGTTAGCACCTGTTGCATATCAAAAGAAAGCAGATTAACACATGTATCTAATCAGTGGGTGCTAATCATTAAAGAAAATGCTGAGAAATACCATAGGATGCCTTTTTTCGAGAGCTATAAATTTCGCGGATTTCTCGATTTTTTAAAGATTCACAAAAATTACTTCCACGAAAATCAAATTATTATGGTATAAGATGATGGCATAAATTCACAAAAATTAAATCCACAAAATAGATTTTTAGGCAAATTCATGAAATTTACAGCCCTCAAAAAAAGGTGGCAGCCCTACGGTATTATTGTAGGATATCGTCTGAGACGATAATAAGCATAACTCATTGACAATCAGTAATAATCATCAACACAGACACACCCACTCAATAATTACTATAATTAGATAATACTCTATGAAAACAAACATCATTACTGGCATCAAATTGAATTAATGTACAACTTCAAAGCTACAAATACATGTAGCATCATTTATTGCAATTATTATTATACCAAAGAAGAGAGAAGACCAAATATTAATTTTTAGGATGCAGCATTCTCTTATTATCACTGTTACTGTATAAGCAACAAACACAATAGAGTACATGTAGAAACATTAATCATAATAATACATAATGAACAAAAGTCTCTCTTGGTTAGAAGCCAAGGACTACATGTACATGTACATACACTAAGGCCCCGTTTACACTAATCCACTTCACTGAATCCGGATTGTTTTTGCTATTATTCGTTTCAGGTGTTTACACTAATCCAGCAGCTGCATTTTCATAAGATTTATCATTCGTTTATAGAAGTATCCACTTTGGTATCCGTTTACATTTTGCTTTGGATAGGTGATGCGTTTTCATGTATCAGTATAAACAGAAGCTGTATCAGAATCAAAAAGTCTCCGTTTACATGTGAAAATGGATTAGTGTAAACTGGATTAGTGTAAACGGGGCCTAAGCCTACATGTATATACATGTATAATTAACTCTCAATTAGAATCCAGTGACAAATTTAAGATAAGAAGCAGAAGAAGCCTGAGCTTCCATTTAAGAATATACAATGTACATGTAGCTACATGTACATGTGTATATGTAGGACGAGTCAATATATACATGTGTATGTATTAATGCAATGACAAAAGACCCCACAAATTAAATAACAGGGCATTACATCAGAGTAAGATATGTAAGGAATCTGTTTAATGTCCCATACTAACCAAAGGCAACAAGAGTAAGGCATGAATGACCAAATAAGGACAAAATACACCAAGGACATATCATCTACCCCATTGCAGTACACAAGTCATTACTGAGAGTAATGAAGTGTTTGCATATAGTAAGGGAACAGCTTTGTTTGTCTGCCTCAGACAATAATATTTATATGCGTTGTATAAATATAGATAATAATTAGATTAGTGAAAGAGAAAGAGAGTGAGAGAGAGAAGGAGGGAGAGAGAGAGAGAGAGAGAGAGAGAGAGTGAGTGACTCCAAATTTCAAATTATAAAAGGACATTTGGACTAAACAATAAACAGAAGTAAATAAACAAGCCTTTTTACCTGTTGTTTGTTTTTGCTGTGTAGTACTCAACATTTCCAGCAAATTATCCAATTCTTCCAAACCACCTCCTCCTCCTCCTCCTCCCCCTCCTGTCTCGACATTTTCCTGTTTTCTAAACATGGCGGTGGTATCATATTCCGGTCGATCTGTGCGTCTGGGTTTAGCTGGAGGTGGAGACTCTCCTCTTTGTTCCTGTTTAGGGACATACCGAGGAGTATGAGTCACTGTACTATATGCTTCTTCTTCCTAGAGGAAGAAAGAGAGCGACATTTAAGTACACATATACGTACATGTATATGGAAAAAGAACAGAGTATCATGTACGATAAAGTGCTCTCTCTCTTACTTCGTCTCCTGGAGGCGGTGTCATAGCAGGAGGGTCATAACCAGGGGGAACTTCAAAAGGGTCGCTCCTTCTCCCTCCTTTAGAGGAGTCATCGGCCCCGGGGAGATCAGGGAGGTAGTCATACTGTCCTTTCCCGGAACCAGCGGAAGCTCTACCGTCCGTGGTGGCTTCGGGTATGACCGATTGAAGGTCCGCAAGCAATTCATCTGGAGGATAAATCATGAGAGAGAGAGAAAAAGGAGAGAAAGACGGTCTCAGAAAGTATACAACTGGGTCTAATAGTCTTAAAGCTAAGTATATAACTATAGGCTAGTAATATGATAGTATCTAGAGGCTGGCATAGCCACACGCACTGTTATAATTACCTAACTCCATCTCCTTGTCCCTGTTCAAGAAGCTCTTTTAGGCCGGTTATGGGCGTGGTCTGGGCGTCAAAACAGACGGTGGGTGTGGTCTCAGTACATTCAAGCATGCCACGTGGTTAAAGTATACGGAGATTGTGCTTAGAGCGGGAACGGAAACCACTCAAACCAGGGGAGAGGAGAATGGGTGAGCATTCTGACTTAGACAGGTGAGTTACAGGGCGGGAGAGAAGTATTTAACGACTCCTTTATAGACAAATAGAGCAACTCCGTCGCTGTGAAGTTATAAAAGAGCAAGAAGTGAAATCACTTTGTTCAAAAGCTAGGTATAATATTAAATAATACCAGCAGACCTTTACATTGTGCCATTCTCTGTAGAGAGATCCTTAGTGAAGAGAGTAATGTACAGAGAGTAGATCCACCTGTTACAGTGTGTGGGGACATTCACGGGCAGTTCTATGACTTAAAAGAGCTTTTTAAAGTTAGTGTATTATTACAATTAAAATTAATTATTTGTTAATTATGATTCTTATCAAGGTGGGGGGTGACGTACCGGAAACTAATTATCTTTTCCTCGGAGACTTTGTCGATCGAGGGTTTTATAGTGTTGAAACCTTTTTGTTACTTTTAGCGTTAAAGGTATTCACTAGCTATTTCGAACTTTGTGTTAATTAATTTGTAAATCATTGTTATTATTATTACTACAATAGTTATTACTTTTATAGAAAGAATAACATACACATGTACATAAATATTTTTATTTTCATTATTTATTGTTTTTATTATTATTATTATTTTCATTATTATTATTATAGGTTAGGTACCCAGATAGGATTACATTAATAAGAGGAAATCATGAAAGCCGACAAATAACACAAGTTAATGTCCCCTCCTCTCTCCTCTCTCTCTCTCTCTCTCTCCCTTCCTCTTATAATGTATTTGATGTGTTCAATGACACAATTGTCAAATCATTAGTATTTGTTAACACATTCTCTCTTTTTCCTTTCTCTCTTCCCCCCTTTCTTTCTCCCTCTCTCCCCCCACTCTCCCTCCCTCCCTCTCTCCCTCCCTCAGGTTTATGGTTTTTATGATGAGTGCAAGAGAAAGTACGGATCCGTTAATGTCTGGAGGTATTGCACTGAGATTTTCGATTACTTAAGTCTAGCTGCCATAATAGATGAAAGGGTAAGGTATAATATTAATCTACATGTACATGTACTCTTAAGGTGGTTTCTCAATATGACGCATTGCTTTTCATGCGCTAGCGTCACAACCAGAAGTGCTGTGTGAACCAGTGGCAGTATGCGTCAATGCGTCAGAATAGAAATGTTTTCTAATATGACGCGTTGACGCATGCTCCCATTGTTTTATACAGCACTTCTGGTCGTGACGGATGCACATGCGTCATATTAAGAACCCACTTTAAGTATTAAAAGTCTTTTTTTATTATAATATTCTCTTACTCTTCAGATTTTTGCAGTCCATGGTGGCCTGTCTCCCTCAATCACTTCAATCGATCAAGTAAGAGGAATGAAAGCAGCCATGATGGATCACTCTCTCCTTGTGTGGTGATATTGCATCACATCCTCTTTTGTGTAGTCACAATGTTCCACAACACTATACCATCATCATCATCAACTCTGCCACTATCATTACCACACACACACACACACACACACACGCACACATACATTGCTAGTGTAGCTGATAATTTTGGAGGGAGGAAATCTCGCCAAATTTGGCATTTTGATAGCCATTCCCCGAAATGAACCCCATTGTTTTGAACCATTATACGTCTACATGTATGCGCATGCTCAATGGCACATGGACACAAATTGGCCAAATTAAAACCCTCCAATCGTGATACAAAAATGGCACTCCAGAATTACCAGCTGATCTTGGCAAGAAACCACTAATATAATACCTGATGACATATGCAACTACAAAATACAAAAAATGACAAAATGATTCCCACCAATATTTCAACCTGTATATCATATGGTATTATTGTGTAGAAATTTTTACCATTTTTATTTCTACCTTTTTCCTATAGATACGAGCCATAGACAGGAAGCAGGAGGTCCCTCACGATGGCCCAATGTGTGACCTACTTTGGTCTGATCCTGAAGGTGGGTGCGTCTATGATTATGAGTGGGTGTGGTTTATTTTTATTGATTAGATATTGATGGATGGGGCATCAGCCCAAGAGGAGCTGGATATCTGTTTGGAAACGACGTTGTATCTGAAGTATGTTATTATTGTTATTATTATTATTATTATTATTATTATTATTATTATTATTACTATTATCACTATTATCATCATCATTATTATTATTATTGTTATCATTATTATTATTATTATCATCATTATTATTATTTTTTAGTTTAATAGCGCCAATAACATTGATTTGATATGTCGTGCCCACCAGCTGGTAATGGAAGGTTACAAGTGGCACTTTAACGAGACAGTATTGACAGTTTGGTCTGCACCAAATTATTGTTACCGGTAAGAAAAAAGGGAGAAAAGGATGAGCATGCATGTACGCATGCACATGTACATGTATAATGTAATTTGAAAGTATTTTGCTCTCTTCTTGATTCTCAGGTGCGGTAACGTTGCAGCCATTTTGGAACTAGACGAAAATTTAAAACGAGACTTCACAATCTTTGAAGCAGCGCCAAACGTAAGTATTCACCATCGAGATAATACCAATTGAACGTATTATTACTTACATGTACTGTATGTGTAGGAGGTTCGCGGTGAACCTACGAAGAAGCCGATTCCGGAGTATTTCTTATGATGTGCCACACCCATACATAGCCTTTTATTGTAACTGTTACCGACTCTCACTCTTTATCATTATTATTATTGTTGTTGTTATTATTATTGTTGTTATTATTATTATTATTATTGTTATTATTATTATTATTATTATTATTACCATTATTATTATTATTATTATTATTATTATTATTATTATTATTATTATTATTATTATTATTATTATTATGCAGGTGCAGTACATTATTTTAATGTCTCTCTCTCTCTCTCTCTCTCTCTTGCCTGCCTACTTTTATGTTTTTATTGTTTGTTATTATTATCATCATTTTCTTTCTTCCTCACAAACTGCATGTACATGTACATACATACATGTATAAGCACTTTTAAAATTAAAATTTACTCACGAAAATAATGATCATTATGTCTGATTTGTATTAGTAATTATATAATTACAGTGTTTGTATGTAAGGACCAGGAAAACATTTAAACCTGGTTTACAGTTACTGCAAGACTCAATGCACAGAATTAAAATTTAGCCAATCTTACATTAACTTCAATGCAATTCAGATTACAGAGATTTCCTAAGCAATTTATACTTTTGTGTTAACAATAGAAACCTTCCTTTTCCTTTTACTCCAGCACTGTACATACATGTACATGTACATGTATTTGACATATTATTTTATAATGTTATAAATGCCTATAATACATGTACATAATATTGTCAGTTACTATCATTATTTCACATAAATTATTGTAAAATGTTAAATGACACTCAGTAATTCTTCTTCTTCGTTTTCCTCTGATTCGTTCAAATGAGCTTCACTTTCAGCATCACCATTCATGTAAGACCCAGTCCCAATGCTAACATTACTCATGCTTGTTACCTCTGGTATATCTTGATGCACTAAAGAAAAACAAAATTTAAATTTCATGCCTTTTTTTCAGACTCTCTTTTATCTGGTTTGTGGACATTTTCTGATACATATTGATGTCCTTATGTTGTGTAGAAAGTTTGAGCTGATTCCAGCTTCAATTTTTCAAGTTATGGCCATTTTAAGAAGATGCCAAAATTCTGAAAAATACCCAAGGCTATAGCCCATGGTTTTTCCCAAAAAATGGCTCCAAAATTACCCAAATTTTTATTACATTTTCTGATACATATTGATGTCCTTATGCTGTGTAGCAAGTTTGAGCTGATTCCGACTTCAATTTTTCAAGTTACGGCCATTTTAAGAAAACAGCAAAATTCTGAAAAATACCCAAGGCTATAGCCCATGGTTTTTCCCAAAAAATGGCTCCAAAATTACCCCAAATTTTTATTACATTTTCTGATACATATTGATGTCCTTATGCTGTGTAGCAAGTTTGAGCTGATTCCGACTTCAATTTTTCAAGCTATGGCCATTTTAAGAAAACGGCAAAATTCTGAAAAATACCCAAGGCTATAGCCCATGGTTTTTCCCAAAAAATGGCTCCAAAATTACCCCAACTTTTTATTACATTTTCTGATTCATATTGATGTCCTTATGCCGTATAGAAAGTTTGAGTTGATTCCGACTTCAATTTTTCAAGCTATGGCCATTTTAAGAAAACGGCAAAATTCTGAAAAATACCCAAGGCTATAGCCCATGGTTTTCCCCAAAAAATGGCTCCAAAATTACCCCAAATTTTTATTACATTTTCTGATTCATATTGATATACTTATGCTGTGTGGCAAGTTTGAGCTAATTCTGACGAATTTTTCAAATTACAGCCATTTTAGGAAAATGCCAAAGTTCTGAAAAAAGCAAAGACTATAGCCCATGGTTCTTCCAAGAAATGGCTTTGAAATCACCCCAAATTTTTATTACATTTTTGATACAAATACACTGGTTACATGCAGAACCAAATCCCTTTCATTATTACTTACTTTCTACTGCTATCTGCTTTTTCTTGCTTTTCTTTGCACCAGCAGTTATGAGTATGCTACTGTCCAAATGATCCAGCATTGAATAGTGTCCATCCATTGATAAAGACTTTTGAAAACTAGTACTGTGTACAGAGCTTTGAGTGTCACTCATTCCATCGAGAAACTGCGATTCTAGATCATCAGTTTCTTCACTTGAGTCATAGAAGAGTGCTTTATTAGCCGTAACAAGTGGACGAGGGAGTGGAGAAGACTCCTCCAAGTCATTTTCATCTTCTATTTCATCTTCTATTTCATCTTCTTCTAGTTCTTCTAGCTCTTCAATCTTTTCCTCAGTCTCAGTTTTAGTTTTGTTTTTGTCTTTCTTTGTCTCCTCTTCTTCTCTTTTCTTTATTACTTGGTCCTCCTCTTCCTCAGCTTCTGTTATTCCTGTTTTATCACTTGCCAAGTGTGCTATCATGGTTGGCAGATCAATGTTCTTCCCAGTGACCCTCTTCTTGCGAGATGACTTGGCTGTTGCAGTCTTTTTAACAGTAGAATGTTCAACTAGTTCCATTTCTTTTGCAGCCGTTCGACCCAGTCTCTTCAATCGGGCTACATTCTGCTCAACCTCCTTTTTTAAAGGAGAGCTGAGTATATCATCTAACTCATCCAGTTCCTCAACAGCAATCTCGTCTTCGTCCTCCCTATGGCTTATGTCTTTGATAAAAGTGGAGCCATCTCTAGATTTCCTCGCCTTTTGCTTATAATCCATTATTCTTCCTCGTCCTCTGAAAGAAGGTAACAGCCGAGGGACCATGAGTGTCATTAGGACAATGTTCCCATCTCTCCCTCCTGAGGCTAGCAGGGATCCATCTGGTGATATTCTTACGCTCTCCACCTCCTTTCCTGGCTCGTGAGGATATATTGGACTCAGTATGCTTGACTTGTAGCCTGGCCTTGGGTCTGATATATTGACCGTGTAGCCTCCAGCTGAGGAGAGGACTGGGAGAGACATGTTTACTGTTTGAGGGTTGAAGCATAAGCTTTTAACAGTGCTTGTGTGCGAGTTGATAGTGTTAATGACTGAGCCTGAGCCGGGTTCCCAGATGCATATCTAAGAATAAAATAAAAAGAATTATTAAAATAATATCTTGCACTCATGCAATAAGAGGATTAGAAGATTGTAGTTGCACAATATTAAAATACTTTTGTATCTTCAGATCCAGTAGCAACCATAGCACTGTCAGTTGACCATGAGACTGAGTAGACAGGTCCAGAATGACCTCCTTCAAAGATTCTTACGGTTCCATTGCTCCTAGTGTCCCACAGTCTCACTGTTCCATCCTCACTCCCTGAACAAAGCAAGGGTGACTCTTTCACTGGCTTGAAATCAACACACCAAACACCCTAGCAATAATAATAATGATGATGATGATGATGATAATAATAGTAACAGCAAAGCTGTACAAGTAGTCATGTAAATTTATAGTCAGGATTGGATTTCTACAATAACATTATTATTGATCAATACTTTTTCGTGTCCTTTCAATGTATTCACTAGTTTCATTGTCTGGCTGTCCCATATTCTAATGCTCCCGTCCCAAGAGGAGGTAGCTAGGAGAGAAGACCCCAGGCCAAATGAGACTCCTAATACCCATCCATTGTGACTCTGAAGTGTTCCAACCTGACGGCCAGTGCTTGTGTTCCATAGCGAAGCTGTACAATCTGCAGAACCAACAGCAAGTAGTTTGCTAGACTGGGTACTCTCCCAGGATAGTGAAGTGACAGGTACTTTGTGGACTCCTTTTAAAATTGTTTTGGTTTCCAGTGTGTTCAGGTCCCATATCCTAACTTCTTTATCCCAGGACCCGGAGGCAAGCAAGGACCCGTCTGGATTAAATACTAGGGAAGAGATCTGCCACCTGTGACCGTCTCTAGTGGAGGATTTTTTCTTTAACTGTGCAAGCTCTTCTATGAGGACTGGCATTGCTGCAAGAATTAGGGTGGGGCTCCTATTGTGGGCGTGGTTAAATTTGCTACCATGACAACAGAGCCACAAGATGGCCAGAGCAGGAGATATGGACGATTATTTCAAGACCACATTCGAAGACAAACTTTTAGTGTAAGCAGAAATAAAAAGCACTATATATATACTTTTATTTCTTTGTGTAGTAAAATGCCTGATAGAAACTCTGATCACCTTACTCCTGCAACAAAACTGTTAGAGAAGAGAAGAGAGACTGCTGAGGTTGAGCAGGCACTGGGAACACAGAAAGAAGTAAGAAAATAACTTTGTGTACATGTACCTTTAAAATGTGCTTTAAAAGGAATTTTCCATGAAAATGGAGGCCCTGCAGCAAAGGAGAGATGAGCTGGAGAGAAAAGAAGTCAAATTGAAGGAACAGCTATTCAGATTTGATGCTTTTGTCAAAGTAAGCATCAAGACAAAGCTTTCTATTTCATTTTCTTCTACTTCATTTTGTAGGAAAGTGACCTCAAAAGATCGAGAGCTTTGAAGAAGACCAAAGGAGAGCAAGATCTCTGCAAGCAGAAGGACAAGGACATACAGAGGTAGTAAGGCCTAATTCAATCAATGATCAATACCCTCTTATCTCTTTGTATTCCTCTCCTCCTGGAAAGGTTGCAAGAAGAAATATTGAAACTAAGTGAAGTTGTTAACAATCAGCAAGCACAAATCAGCAAATACACACTTTATCAGAAGTTCATGGATAGAGTCCTTGAGTTCACACCAGAAGTATGTACACACATACAATCCAGTTCATCTCATCTTGTTTATCTGCTGTTTAGTTTGATGAGTCTCGGGAGATCATCACGCGCTATGAGGCGCTACGTCAGACAAGGGATGACCTTCTAAAGACTGAAATAACTAACCAGGACACCATTGAAAGTGAGAGAGCAAAACTAGCAAAATTCATTGAGGTTAGTTGAAAGGTCATCACTCACAACAAGGCTTGATAGCACATTGATTATTATGAAGAATGCATTTAATATCGAAAGTACTTGATATTATTATAATTCCATAGGACATGAACAATGAAATACTTCACTGCAACAATGAAGTAATTAAACTTATTAAAACTGTAATTAAATGATTAAACTTCATATTTGAATGTGTACAGCTTGCAAGACTACAGACAAAGCTCGAAGATGGAGAAAATGAAGCTATGAAATGGTTTGTTTGATACATAAATCTACACTCTCTACCTTAGCTATAATGATGATAATGATAATACAACTAGAAATGGATACAGTTTCTTTCTCTCTTTGTCAGGGATTCAGAGTGGACCAGGATACAGACTACAGCAGCAAAGAAGACGCTGCTACTAGGACAAATAAAAATGGCTACTCACAACCTCTATGTCCTCGTTTATAAGCATTTAAAAAAGAAAATACCTCCTCAAGAGTCCGGAGAGACTCTACTGCAGCTTGATAAAGTGAGAGGAGACAAAAAATACATTGAAATTCGATTAATTTTCTTTACTACAGATTCAGAGTTTTGTGAAAGACCTCACTGAAATAGTTCATGAGATTAAGAGACATGAGAGTGCTTCTGCTCCAAACATGCAGTTACTGGCATCACCAAGATATAACTAATACCTAATACATTATACTCACACACAAAAAAAAAAACAAAAATGCATGCATATCTCAATTGCAACTTAAGATCTTCATGTTTCATGATTGTACAGTTAATTATATTCATTGATGTCACCCACGCCCAAAGCTGTGTGTAACAAGATGCAATCATGCATGAGGAGAAAAATCAGGTGACCTTTTCATCTTACTTCCACTCTTTCTTCTTAAAGCAAAGCCAACAGCCAGTATGCCTGGAGGTAATGAAGATAGAGATACAGAGCTAGTTCCAGGACCTCCTGTCCGTAGGTTCACTTGGAAAGAACTAAGCCAGCTAAATACAAGAGAGAATGCTCACGTCGCTTACAGAGGAAAGGTAGTAAAGCGTTTTTATGATCCTTTGCCATTGTCCTTTGTTTATTATGTCATGTACAGGTTTACGATGTTAGCTCATTCGTGTCTCGCCATCCAGGAGGCTTAGAGCAGATCCTCCTGGGGGCTGGTCGGGATATAACACAGTTATTTGAATCCTACCACAAAACAGACACTTTTAAGTTTGTGAATGTTGCCATGATTTGAAAATCATCGTGATTCTTATTTGTAGAAACGTTTTAGAAAAGTATTACGTTGGCGAATTGATCGATAATGAGATGCCGGTATTTCCAGAGAGAGGGTAAGTATTGTTTTTAACACCTGCCCCTCTCTCATTTTTAAATTTCTACTAGTGAGTTTTACGTGACACTCAAGAAGAGGGTTGAGACCTATTTTAAAGAGAACAACATTGTGAGTTTGTGATTTGCATAGCTCAGCGTTAGCGTTCCCGTGCTGCTTCAATATTTTAGGACCCAAAAGTCGATTATTGGATGTTTTTCCGATACTTTCTCTTTTTTGTTCTACTCATATTTAGTCAAGCAATGGTGGTAAGTGAGGACATGAAATAAAAATAATAAAAATAATTTTTAAATATACGTGTACGTGTAGATATATTTTCAAGACTCTTGGATCTTAGGTATCACGTGCTCTTTCTTCTGGGGGTTCTTTTCCGCTCTTGTTGCCATGACATGCACACATGACTCCAGGTATAAATTGATGTACATGTACTCAAATTCGTCCCTCCTTCTCTCTCCCCTTCCCTCCCTCTCTCTGTATCTATTTATCTTTCCACTTGTAGTCATTTTGCCATTACTCACAAGCCTTGGGTTTGGAAGATGGTAGGCCATGTTCATGATTTTTACCAAGGCTGCTCACTTCACACCTGGATATATCAGGTAATTATGATCATTTACAGATATTATTGATTTGACTAAACACTGTACTCTTCTCTTTCTTTCCTTTTCCAGCACACATTAGGCCACCATCCCTACACTAATATTGATGGAGCTGATCCTGATATTGTTACAGCCGCTTCTGTTAGTTAGCAGTTTTAATGGAGTTGTTTCATTAAAGAATTTCTTTCTCTCTTTTGTAGGACGTTCCTGATATTCGTCGCATCAAGTGGCAACAAAAATGGCTGCCGCGTTATTTCTATCAACATGTATACGTACCTATGCTTTACTGCTTTGTAAGTAAAGTATAATAATAATAATAATAATAATAATAATTAATAATAATAATTAATAATAATAATAATAATAAGAGGATTGGGATTTGAGGATGGTGGTGGACTCATTATTCTCACTTTCATTGACCATATTGATATTACTTAAACTATTTCTCAAAATTAATCTACCTTAACTAAATATATTATATTATCTAATTTTCCTTCTTTATTTCTTTTAACTTGTTTTTAACTTGTTTTGCCCTGTTTATAATAATAATAATAATAATAATAATAATAATAATAATAATTTGTTGTGTATAGCTTGGAATTAAAACAAGACTGCAAGACTTCCATATTGTCTTTACTAAGAGGAACTGTGAGTTATTATTATTTTCTTAAGCCACTCCTCCTTTAATTGCAATATTTTAGCTACCATACGATTGAATCCACTCATTTTGAGACAATGGTTGATATTGTTTGCAGGGAAGATCAGTCACTGCATTATCCGTTTTTATATTCCTAGCCTCTTCATGCCACTCTCGTCAGTTGTAAGTTGATTGTATGTACATGTACATACAATAAATATTAGCTCATGTACTGTCATGTATATCAATTTTGTAGTACATTTCTGATATGTGCATGTTCTTATGTAGCTATGCAGCAATTTTGAACTGATTTTGTTAAAAAAATAGATTTTTTAAAAGTTGCTCCAAAATCAAGCCAAAGTCCCTTTGCTAGTGTACTACATGTTTTCGGGCCAAATGAGAGGACTCTCCATTTTCATATTTAAAAAAAAATACACTTGCATGTACTTGTACTACTTATGTTGTATGGAAAGCTTGAACTGATTCCAGATTCTTTACTTATTTTTAAAGCTGCTCAAAAATTTGATAATATATTAATGTATTTTTATTTACAGTTATTTTACAACCTGATTGCTGAAATGTCTGGCAGTTACTGGTTGGCTCTCATATTTCAGACATCACATGTCATCAGTGAAGTAAGATACACCGTACTGTAAGATTATTATTATTATGAATATCAAATCTTTATTTAATAGGTTGAATGGCCCAAGCCAGACAAGGACAACAAGGTTCACATGGATTGGTGAGTGAATTTTAAAATTACAATTTAAACTAAAAAATTATCAGTTATGGGTTGATACATTTAGTAATATAATCAATTGCAAAAAATTGTTTTTTTTACTATTTAATATCTGCAAATGCAGAGAATACATTATGTTCACTTCGTATCTACATGTACTTCTCTTTTTTTCTTATTTATTCCCTCTCTCCTTAACTTTCCCCTCCCCTCTCCTCCCTTCTCTCCCCTCTTCCTTAGGGCTGAGCTACAAGTAGCCACTACACAAGACTATGCCACTGACAGCTGGTTCTGGACAGTCTTCACTGGAGCCTTGAACCATCAAACAACTCATCATCTCTTTCCCGGTGTCATACAGTCCCACTATCGTCTCATTACTCCTATAATAAAGAAGACCTGCGAGGAATTTGGTATCAAGTATCACTACGTTGATACGACTAAAGAAGCTCTCGGATGTCATCTTGAACATCTTCGTAGACTTGGCCAGGAAGAGGTTGACAAGGATAAATAACACTTTAAAACGAGAACATACACAAAAATTATTATTTATGTTTTTTTGTGAACTTGTGATGATGCATGTAAAGTCTATAATAGTGCAGTTTTTAACTAGTTGCTAATAATAATAATTATTATTATACGTAAATGTGTAATGATACTTTCCGGCGAACTGTAGCCAAGAAGGAATGCATTCCAGTGAACTGCAACTATGGCTAAAGCATAGATAATGGTTAAAGTATCTATGGTTAGAAACCGCGCCAAAGTAGGCGTACCTATCTTTAATAATTATTATAAAATGGCGGCTTACATAAAGACATTTTCTCAATTTTTCCTTCGCTCCTTTCACAGCACTCCACTGTTTCAGAGAACGGTGAACCAACTCATGAGACAAGGGCCCAACGCAAGACAATCGAAGAAGAAGCCTCATCGCTTCCTGGGTAATCGCCCTCAAATCAAAGGAATCGTTTTGGAGACCATGACTGTACGCCCACGCAAACCTAATTCAGGTGAAAGAAGGTGCTGTCGAGTGAGACTTTCAAACAAGAAAGAAGCTATTGCTTTTATACCAAAAGAAGGTCACACACTGCAACCGACTGATGTTGTACTACTTGAAGGAGCAAATGGCCGCCATCTTGTCAGTGTGAAACTACGTGTGGTGAGAGGAAAGTATAATTGTGCCCATCCTGTGAAGAAAAACTAACACAATCAATAGTCATGTATAATAATTGTCACATATTAATAAAGATGAATGTAAATATTAAGAGGCAAGCCTTATGCTTTAAGCAAGCAAAACGTTACGCATTTTTAGATACCCAGTACTGTGATGTCAATGAATCTGCATAATTGAACAGCGCATGTCAAAATTTTTGGAAGGAAAGTACAATATTTTCATTTAAAAGAGTTAAGTGCACTAGCTTGCTTAGCCATACTGACAAATATAAACTTATATTGAAATGATAATTATTAATACACTATATTACATACTAAAATAACTAAAATAATTATTAATTACTGCTTATTCTTAAATAATTTCTGTTCCAAGTCACTGTGAAGCATCTGATGATCTCTCAGCCAGATCAGAAAAGACTCGTCTGTAGATGAAGGGACTCCAACAACTAGCGGTCGTCCACTATATTCAGTTCGATACTGCACAACAAACTCGCCAGTTTTATTAGCCAAAGACTCGTAAGTCTCTTGTCCCAAGAGTCCGCTCAAAGTAGCACGAACAAGATGGCCGACGTGGTTACTACCAAGTTGTTTGATGCGTATGTCTTTGATCCCGATCAGCTGCATGACCGCCTGTAACTTGGGATTACACCTTAAACCAAATCCTTTTTCCTTCCGCTCCATGAGTACTCTCGTCCTCACACACTTGGACTTGATATTATGAAAGATGGTGTGCCCTTCGCATATTGGTATACATCTTAGCTGTTTCACTGCCCTGTTCTTTGCTCTGCGAATACACCCACGCATGTCCTTAGAGCGTGCCACGCCAAACCCGACCATCCCCTTTCCATTACCAACAATCACCGAGGTTTGTATAGCAAACTGTGACCCCATTGAACACTTCCAGCGTGCCCGGTACATGTCCAAAATGACCGAGTGAAAATCTGGCATTGGAGTCCCATTAGCAGCCTCTGGTATGCCAACGTAGCGGCCTTTCCAAGTCCTTCCACTCCAACCTTTCTTGCTCCAGTTCATTTCGTGAAGGCTCCGTTTAGAACGGTACTCTCCCTTTAGATCGGAGATGCTGATGATGCCCAAATCATCTAGACCTTCTTGCTCGGTTTGCTCCGATAATTCAACCGGAGCAAGGAGCTTCTTTTGACTATCAAGTAAAGGGCCAGTTGACTCTTTTGCTGGAGGTAATGGATAACTTAGCCCAGGCCATCTTTTGCCCGTTCTTCCACGACCCAAAGGTATCTTCCTAGGTAGTTGGACCCATTCCACCCTGTCCCATTTCTGTCCTCTTCCTTTCCTTCCCCCTTTTCCCCCAGTAAGTGCATCGTAAAGCTCCTTTGCTGTCCGTCTCTCCAGTGGGTTTCTTGAAGCGTAGAATCTCTTCGTGATTTGCTGTGGCGGTAACTGGAGATGTAAACGGCTGGTAAAGGAACGAAAGAGCTGTAGCAGATTAGCCATTTTGTTTACGACTCCACGTGTATGAGCCCCGCCCCTCATTCTTAATTGAGCTTGCGCCCACGCAAATGTTTGTTTTGTTTGCGCATGCTCACTCATTGTCCCGCGGGGTTTCGCGGGAAGGGGTGAGAAGAAGATAATGGAGGTTCTTGTTGTTGATTTCAAGAAAATGGAAGAGAAGGAGAAAGAGGCTCTCCACGTCCTCAAACAGGACCTTTCAAAGTGGCTCAACACAGTCATAAAGATACAAATAACTCCAGAAAACTTTCTGACGAGCCTAGACACTGGAGTGATCCTGTGTCAGCTAGCTACTCGCATTCAAACTGCAGCAGCCGCTACTCTTGCTGCTAATAAAGCAACGCCTCCACTACTAAAGAGAGCAACCACTAGCTTTAAAGCTGCTACTGGAGCTGCTAAGCGGCCGGATCTGCCTAAGCCAATTAATGACATTTGTAAGCTGGTGCCAATGGGAGAGCTTCACTGCAACACCTCTGCTTCAAAAGGATCCTTTCAAGCGAGAGACAACACTGCAAATTTCATCGCTTGGTGCCGAGACCTTGGTCTTAAAGAATCCGTCTTATTCGAGTCTGAGGGGCTGGTGCTTCATCGAGATGAGAAACGAGTTATCCTAACTCTTTTAGCTGTCGCTCGGGTCGGAGGCGACTTGGGACTAGCCACGCCCAAACTGGTTGAAATGGAGAAAGAGATTGAGAGAGAGGAGAAGGAGGAAGTGAAGAAAGTGGTAGTGAGCAGAGGAGATCATGAGGTAATGCTCTGATTCACATAATGTACCAAATAATGGTGTTCCAATAGAATGCCATTATTTGGTACATAATGTGAATCATAGCTATTCAAAATAAGAGTGATATTATTTCAAGTATCAGTTATATGCAATTCTCGCTTTCCCTTTAGATTCTTAATATATTGCACCAATGCAGTTGTAGCTGCAAGCTGCATGCCATACTACAGGGACCTGGCAAGTTTCATATCACGATGCCATCAGGAAAGACCATGACGGTATATATTAGAGTAAGTTACTTATGTGTCTACTCAATTGTTTGTCATCATCATCATCATCATTATTATTATGATTATTGATATTATTATTATTGTTGGTATTATTGTTATGAAAAAAGGTCAGAAGGAAAGAAAAAATTAAATAAACAAAATTGAAAAGGGAGAGCCCGAGAAAGAAAGCAAACAAAAAACAATAAACAGAATTAAGGGACAGATTGGTGTTATTACTATTGCAGCTACACAAAGTAGCTACATTAAACGCAAATAGGATAGACAAATTTATAACTACCATGTATAGTTTAATAGCAGTAAGTATTAATTAATGACAATGAATTAGCTCATTTGCACTATGAAGAACAGCTCGAGTACTGTTAATTATTATTAAATTGTAACAGCAAATTATTGTTATTTTATTTTTATGATTTGATTCCCAATTCATTAATAATGATTATTATTATTAATATTTAATCCCAGGTGCTCCACAATCAAGTGATGGTTAGAGTTGGAGGCGGTTGGGACACACTTGACCACTTGTTATTGAAATATGATCCTTGTCGTATGACCAATCCATCCAGTCTATCCAAAGGTAAGTTGAGCTAGTCCTTGTTTTACTGTTGAGCTTAAGTAGACATTATATCAAGGAGGACTGCTAGTGCTAAGAGAGGCTCTGTTCACCTTGGCACTTCTTCTAAACTGGCTCCTTTGAGAGGTAATTATGATAAAGAACTTTAAAATTTTTCATTTAAAAATAATTTTTTGTCTTTTTTATTTTTTATTTTATTATTAGTTCGGCAAGCTTCACCATGTCCCTCACGATCACTTGGTAGAGCAACTGGAGAAAGTGGTGGAATGAGAAAATGGGAATCAACTCCTTCGCTCTATTCTCGTCAGAAAAAGAAAACGTAGTGTCCTTTTGTATCATTGTCTTTTAAATGTGGCCATAGTATAATCTCTTTCAAAACTAGTCCGGCCCTTTTTAAAATGCAGCTAAAAGCTGCAGCAATTTCACTTAACAAACGTTTTATCATATAATTATTATCATTATTACATCATCATCATTAATAATTGTTATTTATTATTATTGTCAGCGCATGTATAATTATAGTCATGTGTAAAAGTGTGCATTATATAGAGTATTGTCATGATATCATTCGGAGGAAGAGAGAGGTTGAGAGAAGATGACACAGACATGATGAGATTTTTCATTCTGAGCCATTACTATCAGGACTAGTTATAACGGCACCACTTGCCAACTATAAAATTAATAAAAAAGCAATAATTATGTAAAATTGCTACTTATATTTTTAAGTGATGTGACCTACCTCAAAAGCTTCCATCCATTCTTTCATTTCTTTTTCTGTGGATGCTGCCATGCCCCAATCTCTGGATAGATGAAGAGAGAGAGTGAGAGTTTATATAATAGTTTCTATATATACCTTCTTTTATTCCATGTACTCTCTGTATGGACATTAAACTGGAAAGCAGAGAACTTCTTTTCTCCTGTAGCAAGAGCAAAAAGATGATAATAAGTTCATTTGTGGCTCATCTTAAATTACCTTTCTTTGGAAATGTGATTTTGACATTTTTCAATTTCACTTCTCCTAAAGGCTTTCCTTGCTAAAGAAAGAAAAAAATATAATAGTATCATCAGTATTATTATCATTATCATTATACATTACTCTTCTCTTATCACAGTTATTACTATTATCATTTATCATTGCTTGCTACTAACACTAGTGTTACTATTATGCTATGTAGACTTACAGGATCATTTTTGAAATAACGAAAAATCCCAGGCTGTAGGATGAAATATCTCAAATTCCACGACTTGACGTTTCCTCCAACTTTGTAAAGATATCCCCTTTTCTCTGTAAAAACTAGTGCACCTGCAAAAGAAGTCATTTATACAATAAAGTTTACACTATGCATTCTATAGTATTCTAAGAAGATATAGTAATAACTTACCAGAAGGTCTTCTCATATCAGGAGTGGTGGATCTCTCTGGACTGCTGCTACCGCCAGAGGCTCCAGTTCCTTCTCTTTTTAATGTTCCTTCTGTCACCACTATGGAGGGAGAGGTGACTCTCTGCTCATCCTCAGGAGGAGGAGAGTTGGTATTAGAAGCCTCTATGACTATCTGCTCATCTTCAGGGGGAGGGGAACTGGTGTTAGAACCCTCTCCATCTCTCGGACCTGACTCTCCATCAGAGGCTGAGTCCTGGTCAGGATCACCGATGAGCGAGTGGTCAATGATCGAGGCGCGGAATTTCTCAATAGCAGCCGCTTCTGTTTCAATCACGACTTCTTTAACTTCCATGTCATCAGGTTCACCCTCAGTCGTCTGCTCAGCGACGGTTTCTTCAGAAGTGACTGTGTTGCTTTCCTTCTCTTCTTCTACTTCTTCTTTCGATTCTCTGACTTTTATTGAAGCACTTGAAACAATCTGTCCTACTTTAGTCTTGTCTTCATTGTCATTGTCCTTAGCTTTATTAGCTGGATTATCGGACAGTGGTATGGTATCTGGATCCTCCTCATCAGAACTGTGCTGCTGCACGTTTGATGGGCCCAATACATCATCAATATGAGTCTCTTTATGATCTACAAAAAAGTAAAAGAACCTTTTAATACTATATCTATGAGATGCTTTGTAGAAAGCAGCAGACAAAAGAGAGAGAGAAGGAATTGTCAACTTCAACATAGTTTTATTATGGCACTGTGAGACGTGCACTTCATTGTGACGTTGGATGGTGTGATGCAGTGTTGTTTTTGCAAGGATAAATGCATGCATGTAGGAGTTTATATATATGAATGCATTTTAGGAAAATCACAGGTAGCATATAAAAACTGTTTGTGCCATCTCACAGACAGAGAGGCTATTCTGATCCTACATTTGCTTCTTGCTACCTTTTAAGAGTCAGTTTCATCTGATGCAGTAATTCAAAACATCTCATTAATGCATGTACGCATGCACTAGATCTGAGGCTAAAAATAATTTCAATTTGTACACACAGAAGTCATATAAGGAGCTGGATTTCATTACAATGACCAAAATTGCATTACAAAATGCCACAGAAGTGCTACATGAAATCTTACCATCTTCTGTGTGGTTTTTTGTTGCTAAAAGAGCTGCATCATCAACGGTTTCTTGCCTCTCCATTGAATTTGGTGTTGGTGGTTCTGCTAGCTTTGATACTGGAAGAGTGTCTGGCTCTGCTTTTACTTTCTTTGCTTGGGCTTGAGGTGACTCACTCCCTGTTGGAATTGCAGACTGTATCTTTGATATCCACTGATATCTTTCTTCATTTGACTGGCAGTTGAATGTAAATTCACTAGAGAGAACAAGAGTGGGGAGAGAGAAAGAAAGAGTAAGACAAAAGGAGTGTGTGGGAGTAAAGAATTGACATATACATTTTGGCATCTGACAATAATCTCAGTAATGCTGTAAGATCAATACAGTTACACGTTTCTCAGGTAACAAATACTACACGATGCCATAGTAGTAGCTAGAGATCAGATAAGCAACATTATCAATACTATTATGCTATAAGCAACTGTATTTGCTTGCTTTCACTATTGCTCATTACGCTTGTTTACATGTTACACTTTATGTACTGAAGTGTTTGTCTTGGCTGAGTCTACTGTCATTGCTTTGATACTACACTATTAAAGGGCCCATTAATGGGAAGAGTTATCATTACCCTTCTGCTCATTCACATAATACTCTCATTCACTCATTCTAGAATCATCATACCTTCTGTTGTTGCTTTTGTCAGGGCAGTGGACTACAAAAGCATATTTTGCACCCTTTGGTGGATTTCTGCTTTTTTCTACAGATCCTCCTACTAGCTTGATAGCACCCAGTCGGGACTAAAATCATAAAAGAAAGGAAACAGAAAATGATAGACTAGTTGTTGTCACTATAAATACAATTCTTGCTATAATTTTATTAAGCAAGAGTTTGGCTTACTCCTAAAGTTTCTCCTCTTTGTAGGTCGTACTGCCACTTCTGTCCGTCTTCATAATAGACGAGAAAGCCAGGATAGAGTATAAAGAACCTCTGCTTGAATGCTTTGTGGAATCCACCTTGCTTTAGGATGACCCCTTTCATGATGGGCTTCCTCAGGTCGAAAGCAAACTTTCTTCTCCTAGGAGCGGGTGAGGACATTGCTGCTGTATAGTAGAAATGAGCTATAAAAGTACAAACTGAAGATAATAATACTGTCTTGTTTTTCTCAGATGGCAAGGGTCGCCGTTGGATTTCTTTTTATAAAAAAAGAACTATCACTACGACCACACCCGATCAGTTATTTAATGTTTACATAAAGAAAGAGAAGGAAATGAGTTCATCCTCCTTTCCTGTGGAAAAAAGACAACTTCACACTCCAGATCTCTCTCATGTTGCTCAGGGTGAGTGTAATTTTGCACAAAGTTCACAAAGAGCTCAAAAACACATTGTTATGTAACACATAATATTTACAATAAAATCATGCAACATTAATTACACATTATCTGATGTCATTATTATTATACATAGTGATAGAGAGTGGTTTAAAAGAAAATTTTAAAGAAGCATCCGTTAATGTAGTCGACTGTCCTGACCTCACGTCTTCGCCATGGCAACTTGCTGCACCAGGTAAGGAAGTGAATAGATCATTATAAATGGGGAACGACCTTCAAGAGGGTGAAAGGTCATGAAATGAGGATAAGGGGTGTAATAATTTAGAGTGTAAAGGTATTAGTGCCAATTATATTGAACCAACAGTATATTTACACATTGATCCATCTGGTATCAGGCCGACCACTGAGTTAAGTCTTTATACAAAAACAATTCAATTATTACAGTTGTGTAAACTAATCAGTGTTTATTTTTATCCCATTTATTAATGGCCCGCTAACCATCTATTTTCCTCCTTCTCCTTTCTTGATCGCTATCTCCTGTTTAGAATAAATTTATTATTTGTTTACGATATTGCACGCTTCATGTTTGTGAGCGTTTATATGTACGAGGATGTTAGTGCAGTTAATCATGACCATATTCAGTGTTAGCTGCATCCTAATGAAGCATTCCAGGGTAAGGCTTATTACATTCTTGTCCATCAGGTATCCTTGTATCCCGTCGTAGTTTCCAGCTGTATAATAATAATAATAATAATAATAGTATAAATAATAATAATAGTTTAAATAATATTAATAATAAGTGTATATTCTAATCTGTCTTATTTTTGTTATAATTTGTTTTACTTTTGCCTATGATAATAATAATAATAATAATAATAATACAGTCGAACGTCTCTTCAAAACACCTTGGGACCCAATAATACTGTCCTGATTATGAAAGTGTCCTTGTTTTAGAGGATACACATTCTTGTTGGTTTGGGACTGATGCTACATGTCCTAGCTATCCTGATCAAACAGGTGTCTTTGTATTAGAGTGTCCACAATAGCAGGCTACACATGCCCTCCAATATATGCAGGAGTAGATAGTGAATGTGACTTCAATTAGCGATTTAATGATTTGAAAATTCCAGAGTAACACCTGGGGGAAAATGGCACGTGTAAAATAGTGATACAAGTACAATAGAAACATGCACAATAACAATCATAGTTCTGCCTATGGTGGTCAGGGGTGGTCGGGACAACTGCCTCAACAAATGAACCATGCAACCAGTTCATCACTTAGACCAACCATCCAATTAATACTAATAACCATACATAAAGCATGATATTGTAGTCTACTAGTATGGTGTACATAAATTTAAAAGGAACAATATTAGTCTCCAACCACCTCTAATTTTATTCTAGACAGAACCCTGAATAATATTATACATGTACATTAAATTTTGTTGTTCCGTAGGTTTGGGCGGAGCTCCTCGTTTGCTTGATGTGGGCGGGGTTCCATATCTAATGCCGCTCATCCAAAGAGAAAAGGTAATTATTAATATTTTGATTGTTATATTATTCCATTTATGTACATGTATAATTTTAAGTTTGTTATTTTTGTTGATTTTACCGAGAAATGTCGCTAATTTCATTGCCCAGTAGTTAAGTACATGTACAAGTATAACTGGCATTTAAGGCTGTGGCTATGGTATGTCGGCCTCATACCTTAAATTATTTTATTGACAATTTAATATTAATTATTGACTCCGGTATGCTATCTATTATAATAGATTATTGGATTGGAATGTTGTTGGGGCTTTCCATTAACTGTTATAAGCAAGTTTTAGTTTCAAGCTATTCCTTCCTTTATACCTTCTTAATTTACCAATTTCTATGCTCATGCAGCTTCTCTTCTTATTCTTTGTTTAATTTATTATTTTTATTTTATTTATTTATTTTTGCTCTTTGTTTTATTTATTATTTTATTTTATTTATTTATTTTTATTTTTGGATTTCCCTCTTTTACCTCTCCCCCCCTCTCTCTCTCTCTCCTTTCCACTTGTTATGACTTTAAAAGCAGCTGCTAAGTGGGGGAAATGACCAAACCAGCAATAAGCCTAACCTCACCATTCACATCTCACATATGCCTGCACATTCCTTCACTAATTGATGCCATTATGCCCATAATGCTACTACACCCACATGCCCTTTGGACCCACTCCAATGGCAGTAATAATAATAATTATTATTATTATGATGTACCTTAGTTATTGTTGCTGACTTGTGATACTTAGTCAAGGGAAAGTTTTGTAATGATTGCATACTCAGGCTCTTTTGTTTACTGAGGGAGACATGGAGGCACCATTGAATGGGATTTTGATTTAAACTTTATTTATGGTCTGTTTACTATTTTACTGAGTGTCATACACATGTACATGTATGTAGTATCATTATCGTTGTCTTGATTTATTCCCTGAGTCATATTAAATTTCTCTCGCTTCCTCTCTTGAGGAGAAAGGAAGGAACAAGGTGCCATTCATGTACTTATATGAGAGAGAGAGAGGAAGAGAGAGAGAACAATTTGACACATTACTCTTTTGTAGGTTTATGATTTAGCCCAGGTAGCTAGTCTGGCTGGTTTACCAAACGGGTTTATACTTGGAGCAGGTGCTGGCTCTTACAGAGTAGCTGGAGTTAACTGTGAAGTAAGCTGTAAATTAATATCATTATCATTATCATTATTATTATTATTATTATTATTATTATTATTATTATTATTATTATTATTATCATTATCATTATTATTATCAGAGGAGAATGGTGTTATTATTATTATTATTATTATTATTATTATTATTACTATTATTATAAAGGAAAACAAAGCATAACTAATAACAGAGAAAAACAAAAAAGGGAAAGGAGAAGGAAGGCCCTATGGGGAAAACTAAACAAAGCAAAAAACAAAACAAAGAAACTGTATGTGTATTAAGAAACTAATAATAAAGAAAAAAAAAGAGTCAGACCTGCCCATCCACATCAGGTAGAAGGATAGGGGAGCGGCTCAACCACATGTGGGCATTAGTGTGCCACAGAGTATTATAATAATAATAATTATTATTATTATCATTATTATCATTATTAGTATTAGTATTGTTAGTATTAGTATTATTTTTTTGTTAGATGATGGCTAATATTAAATTCTCTGATCCTGACTCAGGAGCTCCTCATAATATTGGCTCTTATTCGGCTAAAGTCTCCACAGAAGTAAATGCTACCAATACATTATTGTACCAGTATAATGACACAGAGTATTATCATTATGTCCACTTAGCTGTCATGAAATTTTTCGAGTCACAAAATTACTAAATTTGGCTTATTTCCTTTAAGGAGGTTATACAATAAAATGTGGCAGATGGCAATTAATATATTTGGTTGTTTGTGACTGCTTGATTCCCACAAAAGTCTATTTTTGCCATGCATGATTACAATCCTTGGTTTAGTGTACTAGATGTACGCATTGATTAATAAAGCTATCTCCAACCACATTGTTAAGGATTATGGTCATACATTTGGTTATAAGCTGATTATGTATGGTTATGTCCTCAGCTATGGATGGTTATACATTCTTAGACATGGATTACCCACAGTTGTACTTGCTATCTATGATTATTATAAGGTTAAGTTAGTCGTATACATGGGGTTATTAGCATGGCTTATGTATGGTTATAAGCATGGTTATACATTCTTAGACATGGATTACCCATGGTTTTACATTGCTATCTATGATTATTATTATAAGGCTATGTATGGTCATACATATACACAAGCTAAAAACACTAAATTTTTAATTTTTATCACAAAATCACAGAAACTTATTAAGCACCTTGAAGCACACGTACGATTAATTGTATTTTATTTCTCATTTATTTTTGCACAGGACGGATCTGCTATAATTGAGAAATTCCCATACACTGAGGCCGGTCCTCTTGCCAATTTATTACTTTGTGAAGGCACTCCTGGTGCTCCTGTCCTTGAAATAAAAGCAAGGAAGAGAGTTGGAGAAGAGAATTTCGTTACCTGCATGAGAAAGTCCTTGGCTGCTTATTTTGGTGAGGGCCCAGTTGGACTCGGCGGAGTTTTCATGATTAAGAAAGGCAAAGCAAAGCTTCACATTATGGTCAGTGAAATTAAGAATTATTGTATAGCCTCTATATAATGGACACTTGGAGATAAGAAAGTGTCTCTGTTATACAGAGGTGTCCTTTATATAGAAGTTATCTTATACAGTAAGGAATGTAATTGGTACACTAGGTGCTGTCCGTTAAATGGAGGTGTACGCTATAGAGAGTGTCCATTAAGAGAGACTATATTACTAGTATACTGTATTGTCAATACTGTCCAGTGGGTTTGCTTACTATGAGGAATCTGTTGTTAATGATAATAATTTAGTATACATTTGATCTTTATGTATATAGTGTATATGATATTATTAAAAACAGATTCCTTTTCAAAATGTAAGTGCAATGTAATGGTTCACATACCAAGAGTGTGTAATTAGACTATTGGAGGATATGCTAATATCAATTAGCATTGAATGTCTCCATATTTAGACATTATTTTGCTTGTGCCAAGATATAGATAGCTGTGTCATTTACTGATAGTGTGTTAATATACTGGAATAAGGAAATGTACACTCTACTAATGCTATTAGGCATAGTATTGCTTAACTACAAGTGTTGAAACACCGTTAGTTAGAATATTGTATTTTCATTGCAGCTTGAAACATTAAGGACCTATTCTTTACACATGCAACCATGCCATAACTCCAAAAATTGAAGTCGGAATCAGCTCAAACTTTCTACACAGCATAAGGACATCAATATGTATCAGAAAATGTAATAAAAATTGGGGGTGGTTTTGGAGCCATTTTTTGGAAAAAACCATGGGCTATAGCCTTGGGTATTTTTCAGAATTTTGGTGTTTTTTTTAAATGGCCGCAACTTGAAAAATTGAAGTCGGAATCATCTCAAACTTGCTACACAACATAAGGACATCAATATGTATCAAAAAATGTAATAAAAATTGGGGGTCATTTTGGAGCCATTTTTTGGAAAAAACCATGGGCTATAGCCTTGGGTATTTTTCAGAATTTGACATTTTCTTAAAATGGCCGTAACTTGAAAAATTCAAATCAAATCACCTCAAACTTTAACATAACATAAAAGTATTGTGCACATTAATGAATAATATCTATATTTTTTGTTTAAAATTATACTGTTTTTTTTTATTTTATAATAGCCTGACTTCTCTCAGACTCCACTGACTACTAACGAAGGAGTCAACAAATGGCTCCAGTTCTATAACATGTCTTCACCTCTCACTTGCCTCTCTGTCTTCATCAGTTGTGACCCAGTGAGATCTTTTATTTTAATTTCTCTCTCTCACCTTCTCTCTCTCTCTCTTTTTCTGTTTATACTTTTCTTTTCTTTTAGGGTTTAGACTTACGTGTAGAACATACCCATTGCTTTAGCTCTCATGGCGATGGTGGGCACTATCATTATGACGTCACTCCACAAGAAGTTGAATATCATGGATATTACGTAATAGCTGAGGAGATTGTCCGTATTGATCGACCAATTAAAACTCACCAAATCGGGCGAGACTGATAAGTAACAATTAATGAATCTTTTTATTAGATTTTGCTGATTTTACACTTGCACAGGTTAAAATATTATTTTTTGTAATGAAATACTTGCTTAACAGCTTAAGTGGAATACCTGTTTAATTACAGTAGCAATGAGATTACAATAACAATTAGATATTGATTTTATGTGTTTGGCAACACATCACAAATAAGGACTCGTGATAACATTAGTCAAAAATGTGATAACTTGTAATTAATTAGCGACTGCCACAGATAAACATGCTGTGCTTCCTGCCATGAAAGACTCAGCATTTTAAAAGGTCAAATTTTATGAAATATTTGTGGCCTCAAATTAGAATTCCCAAGCTATTTCAGCATCACTATCAACATATAGTATATTCTATAATTAATGTCATTGTATTATGTGTTTTGTCTACTAGTTCTTGCATATGCAAGGTCTTGTTTGACAACAGTTTGCTTATTTCCATGGCTCCTATTATGCCATTATTATAATAGCCTGGGTGCTCCTGTTGTTCATGATTACAGCTAAAGGCTGGTTTACAATATTACGCTAGTCCTGACGTGACGTAGACACAGGAATAGAATCTGGTTCTATTTTAGCGGAAAGCATGCATCAAAAGGTCAAATCGCCCATGCTTTTGATTAAGAATTGATGGTACATTGGCCCAACATTATATTGTAAACTAGCCTAAGGGATAGCTTTGCATCTTGTTATAATTGATCAGTTTCTGGCTAGGGAATCCAATTTTGCAAAATTAGTAAATTTATAATAGCCTGATCCTCATAAGTGGTTCATTTTCTATTTCTCCATGTAAGCGCTAGTAAAATGTTTTAAATTGACCAGTTTATTGATGTCATCATAGCAATTTGAAGCATGAGTAGTCGGTATTTTTAAAAATGTTTCATTATAAGTTCAACAATAGTTAGCCGGCAATTATACAGTTATTCCAAAGGCATAGAGATCATAGCTGGCCCAATATGCCATGTCAGAAGCATTCTGCATGATAAAAGCTAGTTTCATGTTGTCTGCTTCATTGATTAGGCCTACTATACACATGTAGTGATTGTAGTCACATACTGGAATCCACTCCCTGAAATATTTGAGACAATTTGGTGGTCACTATGCATGCGTATTGGTTAACAAGGCATGCACATGTTGAATTTGTGAGCATGAGCATTTTTGTTGCTGCCTGTGAAGCAATGCATGCACTAATAATAATTTGATCATCCTCCTCATACTCCTTTTTCCATTGGATGGGGCTTCTCTTTGCTGATCAATTCTAGGAATTTAATATATTCACACCTTTGAGCTGCTCCACCCAATATTTTTGCAGGTAAGACATTTTTTGGCCTTTGGGTGTGTAGCTTTGTCTTTCTGCTTTGTTGGAGTTAGGACAGGAAAAGGGAAGTATAATAGGATCACTCTTAACGCTGAAGTGTATACGTGACATCGAAATTACATGTGTAATCTTGTCTCCGGATAAGCGCGTCAATCATCATCATCATCCTACATTATTTTTTATAGACAGTCTTGCGGTAAAGCCAATAATCAACGTAGCAGCAACTCTTCTCATCATGTCCAGCATGTCCTTAAGCAAGAGCAGTAGTAAGTTACTGTCTCCGAGGCCTTCGAAAAAGGAGAAAGACTCCGTTCCCAACCAGACCGACATAAATAACCTAGCTCTTGATACACCAGTTCTGAAAGGCTACATGTATAAGAAATCTCACCATTCCTTCGATTCTTTCAACAAGAGATATTTTGCACTCTACAGCGGCTGCTTAGTCTATTATAGAAAGGAGGACGAGTATAAGAAGGATCTAGGGAATCACTCGCTTAAAGTAACATTAAAAATAATTATATATAATTATTATGTGGAATAATAGATTATTTATTTTGTTTGTGTGCTTTTCCTTTTAAAGGGTGGGAGTGTTGTGTAGCCTTGTGTTATATTACAGGACGTAACACCATCCAATAATAGCCCATTATTCTTCATCTTCTTTGATAAAAAATTTTATGCTTATAAAATAGTCTCTGCTGAACACAGAATGACTCCACCCATCATGTACAATTACAACAAAAATATGCAATGTGGATTGTCATGCACTTTTTTTAGTAATGAACATACTTTTATTAATTTTACTGTCTGTGTCTTTATTTTTGATCTTATCCCTCCTCCACCTCTCTCCCCCCTCTCTTTCTCCCCCTCTCTGTTTCTCCCCCTCTCTCTCTCTTCCCCCTCTCTCTCTCCAACAGAACAGAGCTGGTTACATTACTCTTAACAGAGTATATTTATCAAAGCCTGATAAGAAACCACAAGGCGGCAGATATTGCTTTGTCCTCCATACTCCTGACCCAGCAAATGCAAGAAGGTACAGAATACATATATGTGCATGTGTACATGTACATGCGTATTACATAGCAAATTTATTGATCAACAAAGAACTGTTTCTGCTTGTCTGCTTGTCTTAATAATCACATTATTTCATTTTATCTTCTGTACTGTTTTTGTTTGTGACATTATGTACACGTATAGCACATGGTCTATATCTTTGTGGTTTGGTTTATTTATTTGTTTGTTGATGAAAGAGCAGATCTGTATCTACTACTGCTTATCTCTTATTTCTTCATTTCCTACTCTCTCTATGTTTTGCTTTCCTCTTTCTCTTTGTGATTCTATTATTAGTATACGTCAGTAATGTCACACCATTTATGATTCCTTTGATTACTTGTAGTAAAGCTTGGCATTGATGTCCTGCAATTTTGTGTCTGTTTGTATCAATAGGCAATGAAAGAGAATTTTATGAAAACAATGTAATCGTGTATAGCCTTTTAACTCTATAGCTATTACTACTGATTCATCTCTCTGTCTCTCTCTCCCCCCCCTCTCTGTCTCTTCCTCCTCCTTTCTTCTCTCTCTCTTCCTTCTCCTTTCCTCTCTCTCTCTCTCTCTCTCTCTCTGTAGAGAGACACTCCTAGTTTGTAAGACAAGAGAGGAGAGGGCCCAATGGATGGTACAGATACAAGCACAAAATCCTCACCTCATTGCTCCTGGACAAAGAATAGCTCCAGACACCCCGATACCAGAGAGAAGGAGGGCCCACTCTGTCCCCAGTAACTCCGCCATGATGCTCGAGGTTCTTCCTAATACATTGTCTAGCACTCCGAGTTTTGACGAGGTAGCGCTTAAAGTTGAAGACGGTGACAGCGATCGTGAGTCTGGCGGAGTAGAGAAAGATGGCGACGAAGAAGAAGAAGAAGATAATGATGTCTGTGTTTTAAGTTTTGATGTTCCTGAAACTGGCGACATACAGCTTGAAGTTCCCTCAACCCCTCCTGTCACTGTCACATGATTCTCACATGACTAGTTGCACTTTAAGTTCATTCATGCATCTCATTTTAATGTTCATCGCTGCTTGATATACAATAACTGTATTATTATCATTATTATTATTATTATTATTATTATTGCTATTGCTATTATCATTTTTGCTTCATTCTTCATCTGACAACTCCATTATCATCTAATACAGTTTTTTACAATAGAAATTATTTTAATGTAATGACAGTCACTCAAGCGATGCCTGCTATATAAAATGATCGAAAATAAAAAATAGCACCCAAACAACAGGTAAACTACTGGTATGATAGCACCAACTAGATGCAAAGTGGGGCATGTCCTATTGATATAATTTGCAGAGTAAATTTTCTGATGAATTCAGGTCAAATTGCTAAAATTTTTGTCTCCAATTTGATAGTGGTACTCCTTGTAGAAGCATGTACCCAAGCACATGGTTAAAAATTTCTCTTCAAAAATTTTAACTTTCAAAAACAAATCTTAACACTCAAATTGCTATAAAGTACTACCTTATAGCACTTTAATTTGGCGGAGTTTTATTTTGGCAATTGGTGGTTTGCAAGTGGAATCACTGATATTAAAACCACCAATCATTAATTCACATGCTTAGTAATGCAGTTGTACACAAAAAATTGCCAAATTAAAACCCGGCAATTACAATTTTACAGCAAAATTAACAAAATAAAGCACCGCAAAATAAAGCGTGATACGGTATATCCTATGAACACACTAATCAACAAACAAGGTGACATTTCTTCACCTTCTATTACTTCCAAAGAGTGATAAGTAACCCTTGTTATCAATGAAAAGGTGGTAACATTTGAAAACCAAATATTAAATTATCGCCTCACTCCCAAACCCCCAATATATGTATATATCTCTGTCTCCCTCCAACCACCCACCTCTTCCCTTTTCCCCCTCGGTCTGACCCTCTTTAAGAGAACTTTACCCTCTAGGGAAGTTTTGCGCTGCACGTTAAACAAAGTCACTTAGTCTATTACCAATAAGAGCTTTGTGAGGCTTTATTTATTTAAGTAGAAAGGGCACAAGGATGAAGAGGAGAGTGTCAGAGTAATAATAAGCCCCTTTGGAGCTTCCTGAACCAATACATATAATTTCAAGTATACAGGCCGGGATAGTATTGTTTACTATTCACAGCTCATGTGTGCATCAAATCATAGGGAATGCTGTCTGAAGTGTAGTATATGACTATGTATGAGTAATCAGGTATAAGGGTGGGATTTGTGTACATGATTACTAGACAACTTGACCTACAGTGTTTATCTTTCCAAATTGTTAATACTGTCGAGGTATCACGATATCATAATATGTTCTTATAGGCCTAGCTGACATTTATTAATATCCAGTCATGTCTGGTTTTTCCAAACGCATCAAGTCATAACAGTAAATAAATAATATTAAAAGTCAATGTATGCCATTACACTTACAATAGCAACAACATAAAGGAAAAGGAGTTTAAAAATTCAAACAAAAATAAACCGACGAAATAATATTACAAATATATCACTATACAGATTGCGTACATGATGGCTGGTGTGTGTCACATTATGCTTTAAGAGTTTCTTTTCAAGACAAGATTAGGATTCTGAGCCTGAAGATGCATCATCCATTTTCTCTTTGCTCTGCGATTGTGAAAAGCAAGTAAGACTTCACTACAATGAAAGAAACAAAATATAAAGCTATGATACGGTACTGTATTCAGGGTTTCCTACAAAGCATGCTAGGTGAGCTAAACAGCATGAGCTTCATGAGCTGACAAGCACTACAATACAGTACATGGCATTTGGAGCAACTTAAAAAATTCATTAAATTTGAATTTGATCAAAACAGCTCAAAGTTAATACACAGCATAAGGACATGTATAGGTATCAGGAAAAATTATTGAAGTGGAAAATTTTTTCGTAACCATTTTTGACAAAACTTGGCCAAAGTCCTTGTTACAGGGACTTTGGCCCAATTTTTTAGATTTGTAAAAAAATCCAAACGTGATTGGAATCATTTCAAACTTTTTACATAACATAAGGACATGCATATCTATCAAAAAAATTATAAAAATAGAGAATTATCTCTTCGTGATTTTTGTCAAAATACCCAGTACACTATAGTACAGTGTCTTTGGCCCAATTCTTTATTAGCTTGACAATCCATTGACAAAAGCTGCATAAGCACTGTGCCGAAATCCTGTCGGAAACCCTAACTGCATTAATTGACAAAACTAATGCGAATGTGGGAAATTTGACAACTTTTGGCATTTTGCCATTTTGGCATTTCAATGACACATGATTACAAACCCTACTCCAAAAAGTAGTATAATTATCAAACAATATCTGGCACAGCCACCTAGAAGAACACTATAAACTGTACAAAAGATGATTTTTTGGCAGGGAATTAATATTGACGATTGGCGGTTCTATGAAGAAATCACCAATATAAAATTCACCATTTTGTTTTAATCTGAGCATGCTCAATGACACGTGGCACAAAATCGCCGATATAAAATCCGCCAATTTTTTTCCAGAGGCAAATTTGCAAAATATTACTCCACCAATAAATCGTCTTGTACGGTATACATAGATAACATTACTATAGTGGTTATGTTATCAAAAAGAACCACATCGCCAGCCCAAAAACAACTCCAAACAGCTCCTAATTACAATAAACAAGCTACAGTTTTCATTACACCGACAGTGGCAGTAAGTGAAGTACAAGCAAAGCATGAAGTCACAATAGTATGAATGAGGAAAACAGTGTAGGATTTTATGTAAACACTTTGTCTTCCATTATATTATATCAACGCATAATGATAACAATAATGCTCTTAATTCAGATTTAAGCAAACAATAAATAATTGCATTGAAAATGAAATGCTTATTAGAAACAATAATGATTATAATATATTGTTTGTTTGTGTACAGAGCTGAGTGTGTATATTTTTTAATGCATGGAATGAAATCACTAATAGTATTATGTCTTTGGAGTGGCTCTTGAATGGGCATGTAGCATACACTTATAGTCTATTGACTTTAAATAAGGCCACAAAACTATTAAACAGGTCACAGGTCTATTACATTACACAGGTATACTTGTGGTTTAGCTAAAATGTATTATACACTTATAGCCTATCGACTTTTAAATAAGGGCACAAAACAATTAAACAGGTCTATTGCATTACACAGGATTTATCTACACTTGTGGTTTAGCTAAAATAATTGTTGGAGCCATATACGCAAATTGCAGCATGATGATGAAATAACGGCCTCATTGCCTAGTACACATCTAACCGGCTGTATAGTATAGTGTGATGGATCAACAGGTGTGTATAATAGTACCTTATCTTGTGGGTTTTAAGCTTATTCAGCAATGTGTCTGTAATTACAAGAGAAATTAAAAGGCTACTAACTTTTTTGGATTAAAAGCATCTGGAAGATGGATTCTAAAACAGAACTCTGCTCCGGGTGGTAGCGGCTTGACCAGCGATACATGAAGACCCTTCAGTTTGAAGACCTTGCAGCCTGACTCTATCTGCAGCAAAAGAAATAAAAATTCCATGAATGAGAGATGGTGGAAATGAGAGTCTCATAAATTACTAATAACTACATGCACTGCACTGCAGCCTTCAGCTATATTGCAGCCATGCATAAAAAGCAGTCAAATTAAAATATTTCAGCACATTCATTTATTTTCATTTTCCATCTTGAACTTGAAAACCACAATTACCACATCATACAAAAATCTCACTGACTCCTCTGGCTCACCTTCCCTCTCTTCAATGAATTCTGGTATGTCCTTTCATTTTGGAAGTACAGCAGGACTTTCGGATACAAAACAAAGAACCTCTTGTTAAATTGCTTTCCGTCCTGCGACTGCTTGAAGACTCTTCCAGTAAGAATAGGCTTGTGTATATCAATGCCTACGAGTAGGGACTTGGCCTCAGTAGAAAGCGGTTCATCTCCTAGCTGGTTTCCTATAGACCCCCTCCTGCTGGATATGAAGGAAGAAGCCTTCTTCAATAAGCTCGACATTCCAGAGTTACACTTGATATCAGGCAAGGACCAAGAGCCTGTTTTGAGCTTCTGAAAGATAATACCCTCTCGCCCACTTTATATATACTGGCAGGATCCATTGTTGAAACCACTTGTATAAACACGTGCATGATTAGCTAAATTATTAATTATTATTTCCTTCAGGCCTGCGCATAGCCACACCTCGCATGCAGATAATAATATATACACCCACTTCATCCTCCACTAAAAATAATTTTAAAAAGCAACCCACAAATAAAATGTATATAGTATAAGGATGATGTATAAACATAATAACAATACTAAGTTCATCCATCAAAGTCTGGCTTGGTACCATATTCCCCATGAGCTCTATCTGATGAAAGAAACTTTGCAATTCTATCTTTCGCCTGACCAAGTTGATCAGGCCAATCCTCACACAAATTACATATGGTCCTCCATGTCACTTTCCTGTATGCATTGAGCCAACGATTGAATATCATGCCGAGATTGTTAAGTGCTTGGCCGGGAAGAGGCATAAGGTCGGCATGATTCACACCTAGCTGCCCACCTATAAGCTGCCATTGATTAGCATCACTAGCAAACAGGCGCAAGAGGTCTCGCTGAGTTGGGATTTTCTTCATCAATAAATCTATACATATAATAATAATACTAAGGATCAAATGGTATCCATACATACCGTACATGTAAAACAAGACTTGGTACTATAATTTTATTTATTTATTTATTAACTTTACAGTGCAAGAGAAATACAAAAGAATGATTAGAAAAAACATGAGTACAAACACTGAAGGAGTGACAATTAATCAAGCTGTAACATTAAAATTATTTCTACCATGCATAATGGTAGCCAAGACTATTATAAACCGACACAGTGATGGATGAGAGAGATAGGATCACATGGATCAGGATGTGATGTGAAAATTGTGAATCGTGACAATTACCTGGATTTGGCATGCCTGCCAGGCTTCCAGCAAAAGGGCTCGTTTACAAAATTACAAAAGAAGGATAACAAGGGCTTGTAGGCTTGTTAACAAGTTTTAAAAGAGCTCGTTAACACTTTAAGACTTCTCAACCATAGTCAAGTAAGCTTACTTGAGAAGCTGAGCCACGCCTTAGCTATGCAGAGTTCACGTGACTGTATACTAATTATTTCCTATTATTAAAAATAGTTTTTTCAAAAAAACTGAGAACTAGTGAGAAGCAAGCTACAAAAGTATTGATAGTTTTACTTAGCAAGCATGCACAACATAATAACAATACTAAGTTTATCCATCAAAGTCCGGCTTGGTACCATATTCCTCATGAGCTCTATCTGATTCAAGAAACTTTGCAACTTTAGCCTTTGACTGACCAAGTTGATCCCAATCCTCACACAAATTACATATGGCCTTCCAGGTCACGTTCTTGTATGCTTTGAGCCAACGATCGAATATCATGCCGAGATTGTTAAGTGCTTGGCCGGGAAGAGGCATAAGGTCGCTGTGTGACACACCTAGCCCAGTGCCTATGGTCTGCCACTGATCAGATTGACCATTAAAAAGACGCAAGAGGTCTCTCTGCAGTGGAACTTTCTTCATCAATAATTCTAAACAAGGATTGAATCGTATCCATACATACCAGTAAAACAAGACTTACTATTATAATGAGGACCTACCTGGGTTTGGCATGTTTAAAGGGCTTGTTTAGAAGGAGAACAAGGGCTCGTTAACAAGTTTTAAAAGGGCTCGTTTACACTTCAGTGAAGCTTTGAGAAGACAAGGCCACGCCTTAGCTATGCTAATATTAATTCACATGAGTGACGTATTTACAAGTCATGAAATAAAACATTTTTATAATGTATCTAATTCTTATGTGAGGTGTTTTGCTACATGGGCTCCTTCAACTACTGTGATATTTCCTGAGTTAGGTTGCAGAATTCTTGGATCTCCAACAGGAACGGATAATCTGCACAAAACAACAAAACATTAACATGTTGTAATCATTACAATATACCTTGCTGGCCTCTCTGTGCTACTGACTATCAGAAGTGGATTTTTTTGACTCAAAATCTCTTCACTCACGGAAATTCCTTTAAAAATGAGAAACATTAGTTAATTCTTTTCTCTCTTTTGTGGCGGTAGTTTTACCATCAAGATACTGCTTGAGAAGGATTCGTAATTTCTCATTTTCAATTTCAAGCTGTCTTTTCTCTTGTTCAAGAGCAGTAGTGTCTAGTAATACCTATTATCATTATAATATTATCATCAAGAGTAGATAAT